AGTCAACTGGACACCATGATACAGTGTGATATAGAAATTTGCTTGCCCGACGAAAAAAACACTGGACTTCGGACGTCGGGCAATGGCCGTTATTTCCACCCTTGAAATGCTGTGAGCGTTCTGTCCCTCCTTCTGAAAGTGCTGTCCCTCATTGTTCCTGCAGATCACTGCCTGCTTTGGTTTGGCACCGACAGAATTGGGAGTGTTGTATATCCCTTACGTCTCTCGCTACCAGCGAGCTGGGAGAAGTCTGAAGTCGGTCCAGCCATTATGTTGCAGGATTCACAGAAGCTGAAGTTGAGGGGAGGTAGGTTGGTGTGTGATACATGCATACTAAGGAAGACAGGTGTGGTTGGTTGGTGGTGATATACATGCATACTAGTGAAGACAGGTGTGTGGTTGGTTGGTTGGTTCAGTTAGCGCCGCACTCTGCAATATTCCAGCTAAATCCCGGACCTTCCGCGGGTCCAAAGAGAAAGACAGTTGTGGCAGAGTTCAGCGAGGAAGAAGTAGAGTGAGTGAGTTTCATTTTATGTATAGCAAAACTAGCTTAATATTCCAGCAATGTGATGGCAAGGGACTCCAGAAATTTGGCTTCACATTGTACCCATTGTGGGGAATCAAACCCCATGTCTTTAGCGTGATGAGCCAACGCTGTAACCACTAGGCTACCCCCAAATCCCCTCGTGAAGTAGGCAAGCTAGGTGTGATAGCCTGATAGAGACAGTTGTAGACACAGAAGATGCTTGTTCATAACCACAGTTTCCTTTCTAATCTGGAGGGACCACCTCCTCGCGGGTGTGGTGTAGTGGTTAGAAGCCGCCCGGAGAGCGGAAGGTCGCGGGTTAGATCCCCGACCGCGTCATACCAAAGGCGTTAAAATATGGTACTTGTTGGTCCCTGCCTGGCACCTCGGCATTTTATGGGTACAACAAAGGACTGGTCGGCTTCGAGTCAGTATAATGTGTCTGGAGTGGGGTATTCATGTGCTTCACTGCGGCATGGTATCTCAGTGGGCTAGCACTATAAAACCAGCTTCAGTCTGGGCTAAAAGTACAAGCAGCCGCATACACATACACTGCATGCGCATGCCGCAAATGAGGCTAAATATTCTCAAGCACGCACGCGTAAATCCCAATTTCACTTCACTTCTAATCTGAGCACATCTGCTTTCAGACCAGATCTGTATGATGTGTTTGTGAATGGTCCTGCTGGACAAGTAACCAGTAACTGCCCTCATGCTAAAGGTAAGAAGAACTCCATCTGTCTCATCATATTTCAGCTAATATGCTTTCTACTTCTCAGTGCAAATATGCATGAGCTAGTTGTTGTACAAATCATAATGATGAACCGAACTAAGAGAGTAGTTCTGCTGTTTCAAGACATAATGTATCCTACCAGTAAATTCAAACATCAGCAGTCAGTTTAGTATAGCAGTATTCACATCATGACATTTTCTAGCAGGTTAGAATGGTGAGGCCAAAATGTCTGAATACATGACACTACATACAATCATTTGAAGTTGAAGTAACTTAATATACAGGAGGCTCAAGGTGGGGACAAGGTCACATTATCTAAAATGGCTCACACTTCCCTTTCAATCAAAATAAAAGTTCATTTTCAGCCAGTGAAGACACACACTGTAAAATGTACATAATGTGTCAAGGTTGTGTCAAAAGTCATGATAACTTTAAGTTTGACTGATTTTTCATTCACTGAGTTTTATTCTAAAGGTAAATTGTAGCAGATCTAGGCTAGAAATGTTCTTGTATGTGGTTCATGACTATTCAACAGATGAACTTCAGGTCACTGATTGGTGAATATTTAAAAGTTCATGGGAGTCACTAAGTTGCAAATAAGCACTCAACAACTTGTTGCCTTGACGACCATGAGCTACATTATGTATATAAACACAAGGATGTGATTCAGCACTTGTCTACACTGTATTAGGACAATAGGAGTGAAAATTGTTCCAAGTCAAGAAGTTTAAATCCCAGCATTACAAGAAGAATGCTGATAATCTTGTGGTTTTACAGATGCCCTGGCCATGGGGAAACTCCACAAGGATATAGCACTTCTGATGGTTCAAGGAGCTGAATCGCCTCGACACGACAGATGAGGACATGATAAAGGGTGAGGCACCAAAAATAAATGTGAGTTTAGTTTTGACGCCACACTCAGCAGTATTCCAGCTATCCCAGTCTGTAAATAACTTAGGGCTGGACCAGGCAATCCAGCGATCAACAGCATGAGCATCAATCTACACAACTGGGATAATGTTGGACGTGTGTCAACCAAGTCAGCAAGCAATTCCGCTAGTCAGCTTCTTACGACAAACATGGGTTATTGAAGATCAATTCTAACCCGGATCCTTATGGGTCAAATGAATGTGATGCCCAACTACTTTTGTTGTAAACTTTTCATAAGTGAAACATTCCTCTGTGGACTTTTTGCCCAGTGAGAAATCCCTCCTGCTGAAACAAATATAATTAGATTAGCAAGCATCACAACACAAATTCAAATTTCATTGCAGCAGGGGTGAAAATAACCCATTGCCCGATGCCCCAGTCCAGTATTTTTTCTGTCGGGCAAGCAAATTTGTATATCACACTGTACCAGTGTCCAGTTGACTTCCCATGTTAATTGTGTTGTTTATTTTAAAAATTCAACAAGAAAATTGGCGGTACAATGGAAAAATTATCAGGGCAAGTGATTTTACATGTGCCACTGTAGCGGACTACACTAGCAATTTTAAAGTTATTTCCACCCCTGTGCAGGAGGTGGCTGGAAAGACAAAGGAGTTGTTGAACAACCTCCGGTCTTTGGCATCCGGACGAGGGAGGGGCGGACTCTCACGCTGAGTCTGGACACCCTCAAACAACGGTAAGATGCCTCCGCTACTGAAAACTTCCTGTTCAGCTTGGCGGCATGTGAAGGACTAGTCAAGTTCTAACTGGGAGGTCCGACAACTGCTTCCCAAAGTATCCCAGTGTAGAAATACATCTGCAGCATTCATCACTGAACAGAAATCGGGATTAACTGACATACCATTCTGCAGTCAACGTTGTACATACGTGTATGAGTAACTGTCACCCAGTGTTCATGTGACAGCTAATATGTACATATGTGTAATCTTTGTCTCTTTGTCCTGAACTGATGTTTACCGGTAATCTTTGCTCTTGTCTTAAATATTTTTGAAGAAAGATTTTGTGTGTGTGTGTGTGTGTGTGTGTGTGTGCATGTGTGTGCATGTCTGCCTGTGTAGTGTAATTCTGGACTACGATCCACTTCAGAAGTGGAAAACTGCCATATAGCTGGAATATTGCTGAGTGCAGAAGAACAATCAAAGAAGTGGAGTCAATTCTATCCTAGAATTCCCAGTTACCGTTCACTGGTCAGAATAATATCAGAAGTTGTGAAGGACATTTTTCCTGATCTTGGTGCTTGAAGCGTCTTCAAAGATGATGCAAGACTATATGAGAAAAGGTCTGTAGCCTGATGGAAACACGTCATTAAAACGCTTTGGTAACTGAGAATATTGTCATACATACATAGTCTTCAGAATGTAAAGAAAGCTGTGAAGTATGGTATTGATAGTTTTGGATATACTTGCTTCATGACTGACACAGAAAACATAATAAACATGCATATTACACTTTCTCTGACTTTATTTGTGGAAGTCTCCATCTTGAAATCACATGAAAAAATTTGCCTAATGATTGTGTTGTTGTGGATTTAAACACCTTGTATTCCATCTATCAGGCAACAGTGGTCATACAGCCTGGTGTCTGCAACATGACATACAGCTGGACCTCTGTTACATTTATTGTCTGTTGGGTAGAAACAAGGGTTGTCCCCCAGCTTGACGTCTGCAACATGTGAGAGGCACCTGCGGTACCTCAGTTTGACGTCTGCTACATGTGTTGTCTGTCAGACATCAGCATCAGTGGTCATACAGATTGACGTCTGCAACATACGTTGAGAGGCACCTGCGGTACCTCAGTTTGACGTCTGCTACATGTGTTGTCTGTCAGACATCAGCATCAGTGGTCATACAGATTGACGTCTGCAACATACATGAGAGGCACCTGCGGTTCAACTTGATGTCGGCTACGTGTGCTCTGTTAGACATGACCAAATGTGGTCACACAGATTGACGTCTGCTTCATGTGTCACCTCTGAGATGGGCAACATGCATCACATGTCATGTGCTTGATAGCTATTCCACATATCTGTGACAAAAGCTTCAATTAATGATCTCTCATACGTCAAACATTCACTTACGCTGGGGAAAACATATTTTACACAATTATCTGTCATTATTCTTAGGGTCTGATGATGTTATCACACACAGATGACATACATGTGTGTGTCTGCTTGTACTGGTCTGGTCTTATGCTGGTTGTGTCCCTATTAGGGACCGATAATAATTTATTTATTTATTAATTATTATTATTATTATTTTTATTTTATTTTATTTTTTTTGGGGGAGGAGGAAAAGGAGGGAAAGAATGATGATGATTTAAGGGGAGAATGATGATGATTTTAGGGGGGTTCAGCAATTCACCCCTCTAGCCATAAATTATTAACACTTCGATGCAGTCCCTTAATACACCAAATACATGACGAGCCATTGCTCCCTTGTGATATCCTCATAAAGCCAAGCCAGGCAGGGTAACAACAAGTCCCATCTTTTAGTGTCTTTTCCTATGAAGTTGCCAGAGAATAAAACAATAGACCTTCCTTTAACCAGCAGACACTGTGATTCACTACACCACCTAACAGTTCCTCGTGGTCCTTTGGTGGATGAGTGAATGATTTTATGCCGCTTTTAGCTATATTCCAGCAGTATCACGGGCGGGGATTGACCAGAAATGGGCTTCACACATTCTGCCCATGTAGGAATTGAACCCGGTCTTCAGCATGACAAGCCACCGCTTTAACCACTAGGCCACCACCCCTGGTTCTTTGGTAACAGTAAGCAATCACATAAATCAATATTTTTCATACAGCCATTTACTCTACCAGAAGCTTGATACTGACAACAGGACATCCATACACACACACACACACACACCATGTTGCAACACTGACCAACGGTCAGGGGACACCAACATACCTGTACAGGCAGCTCTTCACTACACCAACACACGCTGCGTTCCAGTGAATGATGATGCAACATAAGCATATATCAAGATTTCTTACACACATCACTGACAATAGTCAAGGCCTGTTGCAGCATAAAACAGTTTAGGCAATGTGAAGGTTAGTTTGAGTGTGTTCAAGGGAGATTACTCCGTGCTAACCAGAAATATTTTATACAACAGACATGCAAAAATGTCTGCCAATAAGCTCAGGTGTCGTCAGCCCGAGTTTTGCGCTTCTTCGTCTTGCCACCTTCTGGTGGCTGCTCTGAGGAAGTTCTTCTTTTCTTTCCCTCCTCTTCCTGGAAGAAATAACATGACCATAAACTACCATACACAGTATGGATAATGGGGTGTTCTTGAACTAGTGTTTGACAGAGCCCAAAGTTAAAGTTTGTCAACTAAGATGTTTTGATTCTCTGAAGATTAAATAATGTACTATTGGACATATATTAAGAAATTTGACTTTTCACAAGAGACACTGTTACTTGTGTGGGCATTCATAATGATACATCTGGACATTGATACAACCATATGTCTTACATACATAAATATTCAGGTTGTAGGTCAATTACAATTTCAAATGTAATTTCAACAATGACCAATTTACATCTTGGCAAACGAGTGAGTGAGAGAGTTCAGTTTTTCGCACTTTTAGCAATATTCCAGCAATATAACAGCAGGGGACACCAGTAATGGGCTTCCCACATTGTACCCATTTGGGGAATCAAACCCGGGCCTTTGGCGTGATGAGCGAACACTTCAGCCACTAGGTTACCCCACTGCCCCGTGTGAAGTAGGCGAGGTAGGTTGGTGTGATAGCCTGATAGAGACAGTTGTAGGCTGAAGGTGCTTGTTCGTAACAAACTAACATCTGTAACGTACCTTCTCCTGGAGCTCTCCACGTCTGGACTGCCGTAACATCTTCGTCTCATTGCTTTGAACCATCAACTGGGTGCTGACATATTGCTGCAAGACAACATACAATCACTGTAAGCTCAACCCATTCTGTACATGGGTACATGTTGAGTTTTGTGGTCTGAACTGCATCTTAAATATGGCTGTCTGGCCCTTTTGCAAATTTGATCCCAATTCTTGAGCAAATTTTATTGAGATGTTTCTGACAGTAAATCTTCAGAGATGTGTTTGCCATATAAATTAATTCAAGTTTAATAAACAGGAATAAGTTTAAAAATTCCAATCACACATTGCCTGATCTATTTACGATCCTACTGTTAATAACTGAACCCAAACTGGACTGACTGACTGACTGAGTTTGGTTTTACGCCGCTTTTAGCAATATTCCAGCAATATCACGGCGTGGGACACCAGAAATGGGCTTCACTCATTGTACCCCTGTGGGGATTCGAACCCGGGTCTTCGGCGTGACGAGCCAATGCTTTAACCACTAGACTACCCCACCGCCCCACCAAACTGGAAGTCAAGTAATGGCTAAATGTTCTACTCTGCTGACTTAGCTTTTTGTGAACAATTATTATCTTTATGTCCAACCATTTAATCAACATATCATTTCCAACATTTAGATATTTTGATATATAGATATAACAATCTTCCATGAAGTGAATATTATATACATTTATTTTTCCCCAAAATTATACTCATCCTTTTTATTCATATATTATGTTACCAGTGTGTGGAGATTGTCAGTGGTTAACACTGGGCTCTGTTTACCAGGCACACAATTTTCCATTGTCTATGTTCAAGCTGGGGTAAGCTGACAAACAAAGGGGAGTTATGTAACTGTAGCTTGGCTATTTGTCTTTTCCAAGCTAGTTGAACACAATGTGTCCTCAATATGCCAGGTCAGCAGTATGTGAATGCAGTACTTTGTGCTGTCTTTTGGGGACATGGAAGCTGATGTTATCAAGAAGTAAGACTTTTAACTGTGAGGTGAGGTGAAATTGGGTTTTACGTCCGTGCTTGAGAATATTTCGCTCATATGACGACGTGCATGCATGTGTATGTGCGGATGCTTGTACTAGCCCAGACTTAAGCTGGTTTTATAGTGCTAGCCCACTGAGATACCATGCCGCAGTGAAGCATGAATACTCCACTCAGACTCCGAGCCGACAAGTCCTTGTTGTACCCATTAATGCTGAGCGCCAGGCAGGGACCAACAAGTACCATATTTTAACGTCTTTTGGTATGACGCGGCCGGGGATCGAACCAGCGACCTTCCGCTCTCCGTGGACACTCTAACCACTACACCACGGAGGCGGTCACTTTTTATCTGTTCACACTGATACTTGCTATTAATTACCATACAGTACGTCATGTCTGCCAGACTTAAGCTGGTTCTAAATTGTTGTGTGATCACTCTTTGTTATGTATGGAGAGGGCATTGTGGATCCACTTGTAAAAATCGACCTGATAAAAATAAATGACAAATGATTAATGTAAAGACTGATTTTTAAGTCTTAACACAAAACTAAAACCCTTAGAAGACAAGTTAAAAGATGTTGTCATGGTTACCTCAATGTGTTGCATGACATCATTGTACATCTCGGTGGCCATCTTGAAAACAGGCTGATCGGTGCTGTTGTACATGATAGCGTTCGTAAACATCAACATCATATCTCGCTGGAACTCTGGCGTTGTCCGTAACACTCCTGTTTCAATATTCTTCTTGATGGTACCAAGGTCCATTGGTCTAAACAGATTCCAGATAACCATGAAAGTAAACAATAGAAGCCAACAGCAGGACATTCATCCAACAAAGGACAAGAACAGCAGGACATTCTACAACCAAGGCCTTGAAAAAAGGAATGCTCAACAACAAATGACTGAAACAAAGGATGTTACACAAGCCAAACCATTAACACCAAATTAGGGGTGGTCCAATTAATTGAAATAATCGAAGATTGGTTGCAGTGACTAAACGACCAAGCAATCGATCATGTTTTCTCATAATCGAACACAAACAATTCTGGAACACTTTTCATTAACAAAATATTTCACAAGGTGGGTTTTGTCTGTTACATTTCATAAGCACTAAAAGCTCGTTCCAAGTCATGATTGAATTTATCTTAAAGACTCCAAGAAATTTATGTTCCTAACATACTAGTCATCCTTTAAAAAACCCCAAAGAACTACATGTTTTTTTCCTTATTTTTTTGAGTATTAAAAATTTCATAAATGACGCTGACCAATTATTTTCGATGATTGATCGGTTGTAATGAAGCAATCATCAATTATGATATTTTAACCAATTCCCAACACTACACCAAATACCAACTCATTATTTTTCAAATCTCAAGTGCAGGTTCAGAGATGTTATTTTGGAAATCTGTACAGCATATATTAATCAGATCTAAAATCATGTCATTGTTCACTTGTGTACAGGTTTGATACTTGTCTCCCTCTCACCATACTTCCCAACTCACCTGTGCACAATTCCCTTGTAGCCAGGAGCTATTTCATTGGTGACAGGGTGCAGAAACACATTGGCATATCTGTAACAGACATTACACAGTGTTCAAGTCTTAAGGGTAAAAACAGTTCATTTAGAGGTTCCTCTCAAGCCTTACTTGATCTCCCAAACAACATTTGACCAAGTTGTTCTCTCAAACAATACATAATACTATAGCTGTCATACTTGTCCTTTCAAACCACACACTTGTTTCCTTAAACCACAGCTGACTTTTTCTCTCACACTCGCTCTCTCAAATGACAGTTGACATGTTCTCTATAATCAACAGATGGCTTGTTCTCCCCACAAACATGACCCACTTACTCTCTCATACCACAGCCGCCTTATTTTCTCAACCAACAGTTCACTTACTTGTGGTTGGCCGCTGATCGCCACACCAACATGATTGATTTCTTCCATGTCTTGAAGGCCTTCTCATCCTCTGTGTCACTACTTGAAACAGGAGAAATGCATTATGAATAACTTTGTACGTGTTTCATATACACCTTAGGAAATGAAACACCTCACAGATGAAGACATAATTAGAAAAAACTAATTTGAATATGAATTATCATTTAAAATATCACCAATGTGTATCTGTGACTGATATATACATACCACATGGACAAGGAGGCAGGACTGTTTGGAATGGATTCTGAGAAGATGGAGCCACAGGTAGGTGCAGGATCATCACTCTCTCGCATCTCTTCATCAGACAGATCAACATCACTGTGTTTTGAACTGGCATCGTCCTTCTTGTCATCATCCTGTAGAAAACACACCACGTCATGCAGTTTCTACACGATGGTGACAGAGTTAACCTTGATGAAACTATTACTTGGCATTATCATATTCTCTATGTGACATGTGAACATTATCCCTTTCTAATGAGAGCATTATCATTTTAGATGTCTATACATTATTACATTCCTGATGTAAGATCCTTTTTTATCATGCTTAAATGTGAAATATTTATGCTATGAAGTTCTAGACATGAGATGTTTATGTTATCAGCTTCTAGGTCTAAAATATTTGTATTCGTATGTATCAGATTCTAAATGTGAGATATATATGACATCAGGTTCTAGACATGAGATATTTATGATATCAGGTTCTAGATGCGAGATATTTATGATATCATGTTCTAGATGCGAGATATTTATGATATCATGTTCTAGATGCGAGATATTTATGATATCAGGTTCTAGATGCGAGATATTTATGACATCAGGTTCTAGACATGAGATATTTATGATATCAGGTTCTAGATGTGAGATATTTATGATATCAGGTTCTAGATGTGAGATATTTATGACATCAGGTTCTAGACATGAGATATTTATGATATCAGGTTCTAGATGTGAGATATTTATGATATCAGGTTCTAGATGTGAGATTTTTATGATATCAGGTTCTAGATGTGAGAGGTGTGAAATGTTTACAAACCTGCACAGATCTGCGTGAAGGCCTCCCTCGTTGACCCCCTCGACCTCCGCGTCCTGACAAAATAACACATGCAGATATCAGTAAGGCAGTTTTGGATGGGGCAGATATAACAATGGTGGATCTCTCTTGTGTTAGTAAATTTGGCTAAACACAGCTTCAAAGAGTATTTCAGTTGTATCCAAAATCTCATCCAAACGTGGGAGAAAAACGTGACCACTGTGGCTAAACCCAACACGAGTACAGTTACACTGACTGACTGCGTTTAGTTTTACGCTTTTAGCAATATTCCAGCAATATCACGGTGGGGGACACCAGAAATGGGCTTAAAACATTGTGCCCATGTTGGGAATCGAACCCGGGCCTTCGGCGTGACGAGCCAACGCTTGAACCACTAGGCTACCCCACTGCCCCAGTACAGTTACAGGTGAGGTGAGGTGAAAATGGGTTTAACGTCGTGCTTGAGAATATTTCGCTCATATGACGAAGTACAGTTACAGACCGTGGTTACAGACTGTGATGACAATCCTAGAAACATGACACCTAGGATTTGAGAGTGAGTATGGTTTAACGCCCCTTTTAGCAATATTCCAGCAATATCACGGTGAGGGACACCATTAATGAGCTTCACACAGTTGGCGTGATGAGCGAACGTTTAACCACTAGGCTACCCCACCGCCCACCTAACAAGGACATGATACATGCTGGTGTGGATGAAGGAGAGGCATACATATGGACCATGTCTCACCTTTCCTCCGGCGCGGCTTGAAGGACTTGCCACCGCTCTCGCTGACCTTGGAGGACACGGAGCTGGCTGGTGATGCTGGGTCTTCCTTGATGGATACTTCCTCATCCACACACACAAAACTGCTGCCTGCAACCTCGCTGGAGTCATCGTCTTCCTGCAGCTGGAAATTAATCGTCCATGTTTGAAACAAAACTGTCTACATACATACACATAAATGAAGCAATCTAGTCACACACATAACCAGAGTTCATCTCATTACCACTCTGTTATGTCCCTCATCTGATAATAGTGATATCATTCCTGCCTGACTAACTGACTGACTGACTGAATTTGGTTTTTATGCCGCTTTTAGCAATATTCCAGCTACATCACGGCGGGGACACCAGAAATGGGCTTCACACATTGTGCCCATGTGGGGATTCGAACCCGGGTCATCGGCATGACGAGCCAACACTTTAACCATTAGGCTACCCCACCGCCCCGCCTGACCAACTGGACTTGCCAGAGCAGCGGTCATCTCGTCCGTGTCACTCACCTGACTAGCAGTCACCTGCTTCCCACCGCCCTTATGTTCCGGTCGGGTTAGCGGAGTCAGTTCCGCCTGTGTCAACTCATCAGCTGTCCCTTCATCCTCTGCAACATCATCCTTGCCATCCCCACCATCGCAAGATGGGTCACATGACTGGTCAGCTGACCCTTCTTGTGGATCGCCATCATTGGAACTGACCTCGACTGCCGTCCACATCCACATTGACACTCTCATCAGCTGAGTCTAGAGAAACAACATCAACCACCACATAATCAAAGCAATGTTTAGAAAGACACGTTCAGGAGCAGAAATCTGAATCAATTTCCCACCTATCCAAAATCATAAATGGTCAGTCCCTTTCTAATTTCAGTTTATTTTCACATTTTACCCACATGAGAGGCTGGCTTAAGTCTGGCTATTCTATTATTCCGTTCATATTCGAATTCTTTGAAACCCTTACCAGAAACCTTGTCCTTGGAAAGATTCAGGCTCTAGATAGAGATGAGGTCTCTCTTAGGAGCAATATGGTGACACTACCTACCTTGATCTAGTGGATCTGTGGACTTGGGTTCGCCAGCTTCCAGGATATCGAGAGGGGAAGGTACTTCGGTCACGGTGACGACAGGTGTGCTGGTGACAGTGGTGATGGAGGACGAGGTGGTCTCAGAGACTGGCTTCGGCTGTGCCCTTGTGAACAACAGCTTCGACAGAGTGGGGGCAGCTGAAGATTGAGTGAAGGGGTGTATTTAACAAGCATACAAGTAATAGAGGTTCTATTAAACTAAATCAGAATCCATAACCAGCAGTTATCACAGACAGTCTTCAATGCCGGATGAGTGAGTGAGTTTAGTTTTATTCCGTACTCAGCAATATTCCAGCTCTATGACGGCGGTCTGTAAATAATCGAGTCTGGACCAGACAATCCAGTGATCAACAGCATGAGCATCGATCTGCACAATTGGGAACCGATGACATGTGTCAACCAAGTCAACGAGCATGATCACCCGATCCCATTAATCGCCTCATACGACAAGCATGGGTTACTGAAGATCATTATTCTAACCCGGACCCTCACGGGTATAATGCCGGATGAGACATCAGGCAGCTCTGATGGAATGATTTTGTGCAAAATTTTTAGGTTTTTCAATGTACATCCATCCAATAAATAAAACTGATCATGTTTTTCAATACTAAGTACTGTTGTTTGTAACACGATAACTTATGATGAATATGACCACACATATTATTTTACATTTGGTGCAGAACTTGTGTTGGTGTGTTTAACTTCCTGTACTGTGGTTTAAGCTAGTCGTTCTTTAGGCTTTTGGTGCTGCTTAAAGGGCAGACTGTGCATACATGTACATGGGTGGAAATAACCCCTTGCCCGATGTCCCAGTCCAGTGCTTTTTTCTGTCGGGCAAGCAAATTTGTATATCACGCTGTACCGGTGTCCAGTTGATTTACCAATGTTAATTATGTTGTTTATTTAAGAAATGAAAAAGAAAGTCGGCCAATAGTGGAAAATGTATCAGGGCAAGTGATTTTACACGTGCCACTGTACCACAGTATACTAGCTGTTTTAAAGTGATTTCCGACCCTGATGTACATGTAAAGGAAGTTATAAAAGAGATGATGTTACAACATTTGTTTGGTGTTTATATCATGGAGGTCTGTAAATAATCAAGTCTGGACCAGACAATCCAGTGATTAACATCATGTGCATCAATCTACGAAATTGGGATACAATGACATGTGTCAACCAGACAAAGGGTAAACACATAGTTTTGAGTAACCAATATGTCTGTTCCCTGTAATGCTGATTCGAAAACTTGACATGTTTTCAGATATGCTCACTTTTTTTTAGGATTCAATGCCAGGTAAATCTTTTCAACCTAGGGCACTAGTCAGTACCATTACAGAACACAATCCCACCAATTATGGTAATCCTGTAATCCCAGCCATGGATTAACAGAAAGTAGAAGAGTCGTTGACTTACCACATGATGGGGACGTTGGAAGGGACTCTGTGAGGGGTACACTCTGCACAGCACTGGCTGCGATTTTCATTTGCTGCTGCTGCAGTTGCTGTTGCTGTTGAAGCTGCTGTTGTGCTTCTCTGGCTTGATTGACAGCTGCTTCCCTAGCCTGACTCACAGCTGATTCTGCTGACTGCTGCAGCTGTAGAGCCAGCTGCTGTACCTGCTGGGCCTGGGTGAGAGCCTCGGCCTGCTCGGCTTCCTGGAACAGTGAGTGGGTGGGTGAGAGTGGGTGGGTGGAGTGGGTGAGTGGGTGGGTGAGTGTGTGAGAGAGAGCTGGAGTGAGTGAGTGAGAGCTGGAGTGAGTAAGTGAGTGAGAGAGAGCATGAGTGAGTGAGAGAGCTGGAGTGAGTGAGTGGGAGAGAGCTGGAAAAAGTGAGAGGTGAGTGAGTGAGGGAGCTGGAGTGAGAGCTGGAGTGAGTGAGAGAAAGCTTGAGTGAGTGAGTGAGAGAGAGCTGGCGTGAGTGAGAGAGCTGGAGTGAGTGAAAGAGAGCTGGAAAATGAGTGAGAGCTAGAGTGAGAGCTGGAGTGAGTGAGTGAAAGAGCTGGAGTGAGTGAGTGAGTGAGTGAGTGAGTGAGTGAGAGAGCTGGAAAAAGTGAGTGAGAGGTGAGTGAGTGAGAGCTGGAGTGAGTGAGGTGGGGTGAGTGAGAGTTGGAGTGAGTGAGAGAGCTGGAGCGAGTGAAAGAGAGCTGGAGTGAGTGAGTGAGAGACAGCTGGAGCAAGTGAGGTGAGGTGAGGTGGAGTAGGAGTGAGAGAGAGCTGGTGTGAGTGAGTGGTGGGTAGTGAGTGAGAGGTAGAGTGAGCAAGTGAGAGCTGGAGTGAGGGAGAGAAGGAGTGGGTATGTGAGCGAGCATGTAGTGAGTGTAGACTCCAGTGATAATACAACATGTGTCCCATCTTTTTATGCCAAGCCAATTCAGCTCGTAAAATATAATCACACGTAACATCACAAAGAGCATTGCTAGTGGGCCATAGAGAACTGAATTATATCTCCCTTGCAACAAGCTCACACAATGTGCGAGTTCAAGTCTTTGAAGGGCATTTAGGAGTGATACACATAACAGGTAACAAACAACAGTTACAATCTTTTGAGCATCAGTTGGTCTGACTAAGCCAGCGAATGAACCAATGACATTCAGGTATCTGGAGAAAGAAAGAGAGGGAGAGCGATTTTATGCCGCTTTTAGCAATATGCCAGCAATATCACGGAGGTGGGACATCAGATATGGGCCCTACACATTCTACCCACGTAGGGAATCGAACCCGGGGTTGTCGGCGTGACAAGCGAATGCTTTAACCACTTGGCTACCCCACCACCCAAAGTTTGATGAGAGAAGGATGCAGAATGACAAATGTGACATCTCACGTTTTTCAGCTGTTGCAAGCTGTTGGCAGACTTCAGTTTACTCTGCAGTAGAGATGACAGAAGTGGGGAGGTAGGTGGAACAGCCTTGGTGCGAGGTTCAGGCTGTTGTGCCGAAACCCCTAATGGTGTTGTGGACAGATGCAGTGGTGTGTCATCATCACCAATCTGAAATACATCACCGAACAATTAACCATAGAATCAACACATCAACAATACCATTACCATGGTCACATCTCAAGATACATGAGAAAATCATCAATCTATTCTAAAGACGCCTCTGGCACACGTGTACCATGACAGCACATCCTAAATTCAATTTATTATGGTCTGTGACCTCTTACCTTCGGAACCTCAAGCAAGGGGAATTCTGGGTAAGATTCCTGCGTGTCTTCCTGTTCTGACAGACTGCTCTGTGAAGTGACAGACGGACGTTTGGGACCCAACACGCGTTTGCACTGCTGGGCTGTGAATAACACACATACATGACATCAGATGATGCGCTCTCACTCTACCATGTTAACATTAGAGACATTTAAATTGCTGAATAGAAGATTCATTGGAAGATCAAGTTGAAGAAATTGTCAAACAACACTCCATGCACAATATTACATAACCAAACAAAGGATTTCATTCCATCAGTGTTATGATTCAACTTGCCAAACGACAGGTGTTTAACAGCACATTGTGTCTTAGGGGGTAACAACATATTGTGTCCTAGGTAGTAACAACACAGTGTCCTAGGGAGTAACAGCATATTGTGTCCTAGGTAGTAACAACACAGTGTCCTAGGGAGTAACAGCACATTGTGTCTTAGGGAGTAACAACAGTGTCCTAGGGAGTAACAACATCTTGTGTCCTAGGGAGCAACAACATATTGTGTCCTAGGGAGTAACAACATATTGTGTCCTAGGAAGTAACAGCATATTGTGTCCTAGGGAGCAACAGCATATTGTGTCCTAGGGAGCAACAACATATTGTGTCCTAGGAAGTAACAGCATAATGTGTCCTAGGAAGTAACAGCATATTGTGTCCTAGGGAGTAACAGTATATTGTGTCCTAGGAAGTAACAGCATAATGTGTCCTAGGGAGTAACTGCATATTCCGTCACTCACCTTGAGCCTGAACCCTGGCATCCTCCATTGCTTTCTTCTCTGCCTCCCTTGCAGCCTCCTCAGCAGCCTTCTCTCTGAAATATCAACATCAAAACGCTGATAACAACATTATCAATAACATTGCTAACAACAATAAACTTTATAACAACGCATCCCAGTCAGTCCTAATAACATAAATCCATGACCCAGCTGACATGTACACCCAGTCACACACCTGCCAACATCATTAGAAACATCAACCAACTGACAACAACATCTCAATTACATCGCCTGATACCCATGCTTCCCTCTCACGCACCTCACAACATGAGTGAGTGAGTGAGTTTAGTTTTACGCCGTCCTCAGCAATATTCCAGCTCTATGGTGGCGGTATGTAAATAATCGAGTCTAGACCAGACAATCCAGTGATCAACAGCATGAGCATTAATCTACACTATTAGGATGTGTCAACCAAGTCAGCAAGCCAGACCACCCGATCCCGTTACTCGCCTCTTATGACAAGCATGGGTTACTGAAGATCAACTCTGACCCAGATCTTCACAGGTCCCAAACAATACAATATGAACAGGAAATAGCTGACATGAACATAATCAACGTACGCCTGCATCTGTTCCCACATCTCCGTCAGCCGATCATCGTATTGTCCAGACTTTATGCATTCCACATCTTTCTTCAGTTTTCTGAGAAATTCAAACATGCATATAATATTTATTCTTGAACGATTTTGTTTGTTTGTTTGTTTGTTTGTTGCAATGGTTTACAATTTGCTACGAATGACTTCACAATTACTATTTTCATTTCTATGTAAAGCAAGGTTAATTGTTAACAATACTCTTATTTAATGATCATGGATTTAGCAGTTAACAGAAAAATGTAATTTTTAGAGTAAAATTGATATTTTATACTTATCCTGACTCATGCTTATTGCTTATTGCTTGTCTTCTTCTTCTTGCGAACATAGTGGAACACGTGTATCTCCCAATTGAAGTTCCCTTCAATTAAAAAATCACTAATTAGTACTCACCACGAGTTACCTCCCTTCCACAAGCGCGGGAACGAGGGCGCCACCTGAACCCATGTGCCTCACTCTCTCCTTTTGTTTCGAGCCCGACACTTTATTTTTCGAAGAAATCCAAAGTGTTAAGTGGGGAGGACGGGAGGAGCTTACCTCATGAGTCAGGATAAGTATAAAATATTACTTTTACTCTAAAATTTCATATTTTTCCTTATCCTGACTCATGCTTATTGCTTGTAGAATCCGGACGGAAAAGGAGGTGGGAATAGGAGGTGGGAATATATATACTTTGGATTTTAATAATTAGTGATTTGAACTGTGATGATTGTAATAACCCTATGGGAACTTCATAAAGGCACTGAACTGATGAATTCCTGCTGTTTAACTTATCAGCTGCCATATAAAGGTTATTACAATTTATTGAATATGATAAAAGTATATACAACATTAATGTAAGCTGAAGCTATTAATGTGATAGTATAAACTTCTGTGAGTTTATAGTGGATACTTTTATAAATTAACCAAAGTATTAAGCTTAAGATATGCATATATTTAAGCTATAATAGTATAGTACTGTGCTTAAGATATAATTATAACTTAAGCTGTATAATAGTAACCAACTCCTTAGAGTTTGTTAGCTAATACATTTATGCATATGACCATATGACTGAGCTTAAGGATTGATGAAACTTAAGCTGAACATATATATAGTAGCAAAACTCCTAGGAGTTGTAAGCTTATATATAGTATGATATAAAAACCATAGTACTGAGCTTAAGATAATAAATTAAACTTAAGCAAAATATATAGATAGTATGTAGCTATTAGTACTGTTATCAGATAAGTATAAAATCTGTAAGATAGACTTATCTTCTCCGTGGAACTGTCAACTGTTGAGCGAGGACCATGGGACCCGAAATGGTGGATACCTGAGACGTCCTCGGTGGTGATATCTCTCAGATAGTGGTTGGCAAACACCATATCGGATCTCCAGAAACATCCCTCCATTATGGTATTCAACGAGCAATTCCCATGTAGAGCGAGAGTTGAGGCTAGCACTCTAATTTTGTGAGGATTAGAAGCTCTTGGGGGTCGAGTCCTGCAGCCTTGTAGGCACGTAGTGGTATGACAGTTCTGATCCAGATAGAGATCGTGAGTACGTGAGACTTCCGTCTCGCGAGCTGTAGATATAGGGATAAATAATCTCTTGAATTTCCCTCTACTCTGTTTGGATCGTTGGAGATATATTTTCAGTGCCCTCACTGGGCATAGTGATAGATCCATCGTCATCATGCGGTCCAAGTATGGATGGGAGAGCTGGGGCGTGGAATAATCTGTCTGGTTGACCTGGCAGTTGGTTTTAAGCTATAAAATCCCAGCGAAGTCCCAGATGAGCGATGTTATGAATATCATCAAAGCGTGTTCTCGTGACCGTAGCTAGTGCTAACAGGAATAAGGTTTTGTGGGTCAGTGATTCAAACGATGTAGATAGCAATGGTTCATAAGCCTCACTAGTGAGGTGTTGGAGCACTATATTTAGATCCCAGGCTGGAGCGTGAAACTTCCGTTTCTGATCCTCCAATCGGAACGCTCGTAACAAAGCGAGTAACTCTGGTGTTTTTGTTAACTTGGCCCGTTAGCATAGTTATGACAGAACTTATGGCTGCAAGATAAGTGGACAAGGTTGAGCCTTTTAGATTCTTAGTTTGCCGTAGATAACATAAGAAATCTGCCACTTGAGGATGTGTAGCATATCTGGCTGTAAATCCTTTCTTAGCAGCGTAATTGACAAAACTGTGCCATTTGTCATCGTACAAGTTACGAGTTGAGTTAAGTAGTGCAAGCGTGACCGCTTTAGCAGCTCTGGCAGAATAACCTCTCTTATTCAGACATGCCTTGATACAATCCATACGTGAAGTTGGAATGCTTCTGGTGTTTAGCGCGTGTGCGGATGTATCAATAGATTGGCGTTGTGGGAGCTGAAGAATTGGTTTCCCATTACTTGAATGAAATCTGGAAACCAAGTTCTTGCTGGCCAGTAGAGGCTGCGATTAAAATCAGATGGAGGCTCTGCGTTTGACTGATTTTCTGTAAGACTTAATGGGATCAGCGCTGGGAGGCGGAAGCGTCGCACGCGTTGAGTCTCTCCCACGATATGCTTAGTGCGTCCGTTGCCCATGCTAGTGGATCTGGCACTGGCGACACGAATGTTGTCAGTTGCTTGTTGAATCGAGTGGCGAATAGGTCTATCAGTGGAGATCCTATTTCCATGATTATTTGATTGAATATCTCTGTGTGGAGCATCCATTCTGTCGGCGACGGTTGGTGTGGCCGAGAGAGAGCGTCTGCTAATACATTCTTTGCTCCTGGAATGTGGCAAGCTCTGACGTGTATGTTTAGATTGTCGATTAAATCGAACAGTCTGAAACATCGAGTCAGTAGGTTCTGTGACCTTGTTGAACCTTGTTTGTTCACATAAAACGCCACTGTTGAATTGTCTGTGTGAACCATCAACTGAGCGTTCTGTAGTATGTTGCTCCAGTGACTTATGGCGTTTATGACTGCTTGCATCTCTAGCAGATTTATGTGACATTTGCTCTCTTGATTGCTCCATAGGCCTGACGCTGTCCTGCCAGCAAGGTGGGCTCCCCAACCTTGTAGTGACGCGTCTACGTAGAGATGTGTGTTCGATTCCGGCTCTACTAAGGAGACGCCTGCGCAAACATTCAATCTCTTGGTCCACCAGAGTAGATGTGGTTTGACATAATCTGGTAGACTGAATGGTAGAGGGTCCTCGAGATGAGCATTGATGAGGACTTGTAACGGACGTAATTGAAGCCTGCCTCTGACTGTCAAGTCTTGAGCTGATGTGAGTAGTCCCAATAGGCTCTGCCACTGTCGTAGTGGTAACAGAGAGAGTAGGGCTTGAGGAATAAGTTGTTGGATCTTGATCCATCTGTCCTCCGGGACTACAATACGATTCTGAGCTGTTAGAAATCGTATACCTAGAAATTGCAGATCTTGCGTTGGTTCTAGGTCCGACTTGAGTAGATTTACTAACCATCCTAATTGTGTTAGTAGCTTGATTATAAAATTCAGCTGTAGTCTGAGGCGGCTGTGGATCTGGATCCACTTGTATACCGTCGTCTAGGTAAAAAGCGCTGCGAAGACCTTGACGATGTAGGTATGAGACAATAGGCTTGGTCACTCTTGTGAATACCCAAGGGGCCCGATGTGATTCGAAGGGAAGAACCTTCCATTGGTAATGTTTCCGTCTAGGATAAATCTTAGATATTTCCTTGAGTTGGGATGAATCGAATGTGTGTAGATATGCGTCTTGCAAATCTATGCTGGCCATGTAATCTTTGGGACGAATTAAATGCGAAGTTGCGGTAAGTGAATCATGCGAAACGTTGGTGGTTTGCATAGATATTCTCTGTTGAAGATGCTCATGTTGTATATGAGACGAAACTTCTCCTTGGATTTTTTCTTCGGCACTAGGAAAACTGGGGAGTAGAAACCTGGTACGATGTTTCGTTGATCCAGAACTTCTAAGGCCTGTTTGTTTAGTAGAGTAAGTACTGTTTCTCTTAACATAGGTAGTTGTGCCGGTTGAACGTTGAACCCTGGGGGGTTGACTGTTAACGGAGGCTTGGCCTTGAGTTGTATTAGATATCCGTGCTGTAGGATGTTGGATACATATGGATCTTGTAGTTTTCCCAGTGTAGCTGAAGGCGTCCACCCACTTGAGACGGTTGTACTGGAACGGCTTGGGGTGGAAGACTCCAGTCGTTCTGAACCTGAATTTCATCGTCTAAATCCACGGGCACCTCTGGATGATCTGCCTCTAGCTGATCCTCCCCTAAATTTGTTGTATGGGCGACGAAAAGAATCCTTGGGATCTTTAGCTGCAGCTAATTTCTTGTCCCGTGCTTTCTGTAGCCCCGAAAACTTAGACTTGCCTGAGTACCTCTGTGTTGACTGTTTAATGACGTTCGCTAAGGTATCCATGGATCTGATCATAAGAACCTCTCTCGAGTCTTTAGATACTTCTTTAGAGACCTTGTTTATGTTGCCACCAAACAGTAAGGGCGATGACCATGGAGCTGTGTATAGAGATTCTGTAAATTGCTTATCCCAAGAGCAGGAGGCTAGTAAGCCTTGCCCGATTGAGCCATGGTAGTAGTTTCAGTAAGCGCTGACAGGTGCTCTGTAAGAAATTGGTGGTCTCTTTTCTGCATGAGTAGAGCTGAGTAGATCATTCTATCTTCCTCCTCTGTAGAATTCTTGAACTTGGTGATGAGAGTTTCATTAATCGTTCTAGATCTATTCAATCCAAAGAACATCCTCCTGGCGATGGTATCTAGTTGAGCGAATTTGCGATCGTCTACTTTGTAACTTCTGGACTTGGCATCGCTGATTAATTTAAATTTGTCATCAATATCCTGGGCCTTGAAAAAGGGGTCCATATTGTGTCCAGCAAATTTCTTGGCATTGAAGACCGGGAAATGTGTAGATTGGACTTTTGAAGATTTGGAACAGGCTGTATCCAAATTACCGCTGCAATCGGGTCAATAGGAGGTAAGGTGATATTGTCTACATCATCATCCTTCATCAGGTAAGTCTGAGTTGAATTCTCATTCTTCGATGGGGAAGCAAGTTCACCATCCAGTATCTAATCTCAGCATCTGAGAAAATGATACCTTCTTCCTCTGATGTAGGGTCACATGTCGGAGTCCTAGATCTGTAGGACTGACTGAGTTTAGTTTTACGCCGCTTTTAGCAATATTCCAGCAATATCACGGCGGGGGACACCAGAAATGGGCTTAACACATTGTGCCCATGTGGGGAATCGAACCCGAGTCTTCGGCGTGACGAGCCAACGCTTTAACCACTAGGCTACCCCACCGCCCCAGATCTGTAGGAAGATCTATGTGAGGACTGTGGTGAACGGACTGACGAGTGGCTAGTGTAAGGAGACCTTGGAGGAGACATCCTCGGCGAACGCTGGGGACTTCGCGAAGCTCTTCTAAATCTTCTGGGCGAGGTAGATATGGAGCCACTTAGCCTTCGCGACCTTCGCAAATGTATCGAGTCAGTGTCCGAATCGACATATGAGCGCTTGCTTCGCGAACGACCTCTGTGTTCTACAGGGTGTGGGCTCGGCGAAGCGCTCCTTCTCCGCGATGTCCCTCGCAACTGGATAGGCTCTAGCTCCTTCGCCGAGGCGGCCTGGGACTTCCTTTGCGAAGTGATCGCTACGGGCTGGGTTGCCCTTCGCGGAGGCGCGTTTGTGGGCTCTGGGGCCCTACGCGAAGCCAAGGCGGGCTCTGGGGCCCTGTATGACTTATTAAGTGTTGGGCTCTGGGTCCCGTGGCTCTGGGGCCTCTGTAAACCGTAACGGTCCTCCATCAGTCTCATGATTTGGTTAACCAGGTCGTCTGGGACAGTCTGCGCTGGCGTTGAGGGTGGCCTCTCTGTGAAAGTGACGGGACCCTCAATCGTAAACTCAGGCGTCAGCGTAGGCATCTCTGGTTGCGTGTTTATCTGCGCTGTAGTGACGGTAGCAGATACTGGACGTTTCTTATGACGTACATCTGGAATGATAATCGGAATGTCATCATCATATAAACATAATTCTGAGACAGGTAGAATATCGGAGGCAAAATTATTTGTAGCTTTCGTAGATTTCCCTTTTGACGAAGCTGTGGACCTGGGGGTTCGAAGCGTACGTTGAGATGATGTGGACGCTTTCCTAGTCTTAGACTGTGAAGACGGAATGTCTTGAGATGCAGGTCGCTTCTTGGACATAGCGGACTGCGTCCCACGCTTATCCCCCGAGGGAAACTCCGGCATGCCACCAGCCGGTGGCGGGTCGTCAGTCAACAGTTGACAGGGTATAATAGCTTCCGATCTATTAGCCATGACTGAAGATTGTTTGCGAGATTTATCTGCCTTCCGTCTCAAAACGGAACATAAATATTTATCAAAGGCAGAAATTGGTAAATTAATACATAATTTACAACGAGAAACAATAGAACATGGAGTAATGCAACTAGGGCATTTTAAATGTGGATCGGTAGCGGAATAACGTAGTTTACAACCTGTGCAGATTCTCATTAACGTAAACTGCTGAACAAACACGGCGAACCGTGAATAAAACAGCAGAAACACGACTAATAATCAATGCAAGTTGAATAAGGATACTAGTTACACCTCTATAACTGAATATAAGAGGTACTAAACTAAATATAAATAAAGGATATAGTGTGTTGGGAGACACAGGCACTCTCACGTCCAGCTCACTGGGCGAAGGAGGAGAGAGTGAGGCACATGGGTTCAGGTGGCGCCCTCGTTCCCGCGCTTGTGGAAGGGAGGTAACTCGTGGTGAGTACTAATTAGTGATTTTTTAATTGAAGGGAACTTCAATTGGGAGATACACGTGTTCCACTATGTTCGCAAGAAGAAGAAGACAAGCAATAAGCAATAAGCATGAGTCAGGATAAGGAAAAATCAGTAACTTTTGAGGAAATAATTCTCGATGAAAGCCAGAAGATGATGATGATGATGATGATGATTCATGAAGTACAAAGAGATTTTGCCCAACTTACTTGTATCTCTGTTGTTCCCCCAAGGCTATTTTACGTAGTTCCTCAATTCTCTCCGTCATCAGCTTCCTGAATATCTGATCAGCAGGCGTGTCAGTCTCTCCTCCATCGCCTCGTTTCCGTCTGACAGAATTACAAAAGAGACATGTTACTATCATACTTGTGAACTGAATATCTTTTGATGTACCCTAAGTGTGGCTATGAAGCCAAAAGACTGACTGAGTATGGTTTTAAGCCGCTTTTAGCAATATTCCAGCAATATCACGGCAGGGGAGCATCAGAAATGGGCTTCACGCATTGTACCCATGTGGGGAATCGAACCCGGGTCTTCGGCGTGACGAGCCAACGCTTTAACCACTAGACTACCCCACCGCACCTGAAGCCAAAAGAGAAGGTACATCAAACAGTATTCAACAAGGATAAGCCTACTACAATTTTATCAAACCACCATTTGCATCATAGACCTTTATTAGAAACTAATTTTTGCCTATACTCTGATAAATTGTCATTAAAATTTCCGTAACTGAAAAGACAAACTTCCAAATTTAAATCAGGATCAATGAAGAAATACATTATTGCACTGAATTCTAATTTTGAATGAAATATTCAAAGCATCCAAATGGCACTAGACATATTCTTGAATCCCTGGGTTTATATGAGGCACAACTATCTGTCCAGTATGCACAAATGTTGAGACTGGACACAGAAAACCCCAAAAACTGCGCCCAAAGAGATACACAAAAATCCTGAGAGTGTACCAACAGCGCATCAAGAGTAGTCATCTGTGTCTGTTATTTCACCAGTCAGTCATGACCACTGTCCACATAATTCTAATTCATTCCAGGCATAATTCTAATTCAATACCTTTCCTCATGTTATCAGCAAGGACCCATAAAATGTATTGATATGGGGGTGGGGGGGAAATAGAAAGAGAGAGAGAAGGGGGAAGGAGAGGAGAAGACAGAGGAAGGGAGAGAGAGAGGAAGGAGAGAGAGTACTGATTGGGGGGAGGAGAGAGAGAGAGAGAGAGAGAGAGGGGGAGTAAGGAGGAAAGAAAGAGAATGAGTCCCCTGGACCCCTGCTTTTGCACATCAAGGCAAAACCCTGCAATCCTATATGAGTTCCTGGAAATATGATGCCAGTTGCTGTCGACTACAAACACAGTCTGTGTCTGTGCAAATAAACATCACACATTATTAACACTGAGATCTACTGAAAATGGTTTCAAATGAAAGATTCCAACTTGGATACTCAAAATATTTTTGAACTGACAGCAAGGATGAATTATTAAATATTATATTATTTATAGACACCATGATGTCTATAAATGTAACTGACTTACTTGGGTGTTTCCACCTTCTCTAGGAGATCGGAGTACTGCAAGGCACAATTCTGAAGACACGAGATGACATAATTACTATAGACTTACAGGCATAGGTTCATACTCAAGTGCTACTGCTTCTCATAATATCCAAGCTGTGAGTTAGCAAGCTTGAGAGAGTGAGTATATTTTTTCCGTCACACTCAGCAATATTGGTTTTACCCTGCTTTTAGCAATATTCCAGTAATATCACGGTGGGGGACACCAGAAATAGGCTTCACACATTCAGAGGTACAGATAAGCTGCGTATCTGCGTAAATTATTCAAACATTTATGTGAAAACTCAATTCTTACCAAGCCTGTTGCGTACAAGTACGCTTGAATTTTTGTAAATACTCAATATATTTTATCTTACATGCGTACACACAAAAATGTCAAATCTTTGTTTGCGTACAGGTGCATAGATAAAATAACTGAGGTACATTGAGAGGTTCTATTTCAACACATGAACTAGGCAACTTGCAGTCTTTCTTATAGTTTCTCATATTACAGATCCAATATAAATAACATTTAGCGTCATTATATTTTTACAATTAATGGAAAATGACGAAATACCCAATTGAGTTTGAATGAGGTGGGTACAATTTATTTGATTACTCAAAGGAAAATTAGGATACCCAATTGAGATGAGCACAAGCGAGTACATAACTCAATGACCCAAAATGTTATCTGTAGCTCTGCACATTGTACCCATAGCAAGCTTGAAGCAAGAGTAGCAAACACCATATCTTTCCTCGTGTGTATGTTGTATTTGTCAGTTAAGATTGCAGTTCAGATAAAGTATTTGGTTGAGCAACTGGCTTAAACTGCACAGTACTTTTACAGCACTGTAAGGTGTGGAGAAAATCAAGCAAAGCCAGCAAGTTTATATGCATATATAGAGTGGGGAGGTTGGACTGAAAAATTATCTGGAAATATAAGAAGGTCCTGTCTTAACTAATGTTAAATGATTGGCTGAAAAATGGCCATATGACGTATCAGCCAACTTAAGCTCAGTGCTCAGAGGTTGATGGACATCCTTATTATCAAGTGAATTACACTTATTTCTATCAGATAGATTACCTTGGATGACTTCACTTATACATACTGGATGTGACATCAGTATCTTTATGTGTGTTATCATGGATATACTATTCACACTTTACTAAGGATCAAATCATTGATTCAACAGAAAACTAAGATGTGTGGTAAAATTTGGTTGAAATATCTAAGCCTATTGTAAGAAAGGATCCAAGTTTTCGGTATAACTGCTTATTGTGGATCCCATACCTGCTATTGACAGGTGTTGTGTACTTGTCAATGACCCCTGCCATGATTTTGCAAAATGGTTGATTGGTGCCATGAATACCATTTTTATGGTTACACATGTATCAAGTGCATACGGTTAGCTTACAGTGGCTGTTTTCCTAAAGGTGTGTTACCATATCATTATCTATCCAGTTTTAAAAGGATACAATGTCAAATTACAAATCTACGTTTAAGTAAAGTTGCTAATTTTTGTGATCCTTAGCAAAGTGTGAGTAGTATATAAGAATTCATTACAGTAAATTGATTAGTCACCTCTTATCACCTTTATCAAAGTGAGTGAGTGGGTTCAGTTTTATGCCGCACTCAGCAATATTCTAACGATATGGTAGCAGGTCTGGAAATAATCGAGTCTGGACCAAACAATCCAGTGATCAACAGCATGAGCATTGATCTGCGCAACTTTACCAAAGTGGAATTGAAGAAGACTGATGGACTTGTTTGTGTTTAACGCTACTCAGGAGTATGGTTTTACACCACACTCAGCAATACTCCAGCCATATGGTGGCAGTCTCTTAATAATCAAGTCTGGACCAAACAATCCAGTGATCAACAGCATGAGCATCGATCTGCGCAACTTTACCAAAGTGGAATTGAAGAAGACTGATGGACTTGTTTGTGTTTAATGCTACTCAGTGAGTATGGTTTTACACCACACTCAGCAATACTCCAGCCATATGGTGGCAGTCTCTTAATAATCAAGTCTGGACCAAACAATCCAGTGATCAACAGCATGAGCACCGATTTAGGTAACTGAGTTACAATGACATGTGTCAACCAAGTTCATGAGCCTGACCACCTGATCCTGTTAGTCACCTCTTAGGACAAGCAGGTGTTGCTGAAGACCAATGCTGGCCTGAATCTTCATGGGTTACTGATAGATTGAAGGATGCAGTCCATGACAGGGATGGATGATGGAGTGAACTGATTAAAGGAATGATATTGACTTACCTTCTGGGAGAACCAGTTAGATGGTCGCTGGCTTTCCACATATGGCTTGATAGCTCTGCTTACTGATACCCTACAGAAAGAAGTGCATTGTGTCACAAGTCAATGAGTGAATGACTTTATTGCAGTAGAGGGCCACAGGCCCATTACACAGTGCATTGTACAATAGATATAAATGTTGATGGAGCGCGCATGTCAGCTGGTGGTGAGTGAGTGAGTTAGTTTAGTTTCACGTCCCATTTAACAATATTCCAGCAATATCATGGCAGGGAACACCAGAAATGGGCTTCACACATTGAGACCATGTGGGGAATCAAACCTCATCAAAGCCAAGATTCCCCAAAACATTGACTTTTCATCATCTAAAGTTGTGTTTATTGACAACCTGCATTCATTTTCTCAAATAAAATTACATAAAATTTGGGGTGGCAATTGTCCTCACTATTATAGTAAAAATATCTGGGTGGCAATTGGCGTAGGTGGCAGTTGTCCTAGTTGGTAATTGTCCGGCGGCAATTGTCCGGGTAGCAATTGTACGGGTGGCAATTGTCCTGCTCCCATTTTAATGCAAAGATGAACAGCAAACAGAACGAGGAAATGTACAGAGAGCACAGTCAAGCAAGTCTCAGAGTCAGATACATGAGTTAGAAAATATGATTTAAAAAACCCCAATACAAAACACTAAGACAATAGATAAGTAAAGAGTGATTCAATCTCCTACCAGTTTTGGTCCCCACTCTTCATGACAGAACACGCCAGAGCGAGCTTCTCCCTCGTGGACCATGTGTCCACTGGTCCCTGGTGCAGCTTCATCCTGGGCAACAAGAGGTCATCACAGTCATAATCACAACTACAACTACAAGGCAAGGAGTCTGTACTTCTAACACATAGATCTAAGATTGGATGCAGTTAACAAATCTGGGTATCATTACATCAATGCATGGACCAAACCCTAGACAAAAAATATGTCAGGTACCTGATGCAAGTGTCAACCTAAAATATCTTGAAATTGAGGCATGACCCTAGAATAAAATGTGTCTTAAAAAACAATTATTGATGCAAGTGTCAACCCCATGAACAAAATGTGTCCTGCAATTAATGGATGTGTCAATCAGCATATTTTGTTGCTGTTTCACTGAAGACAATGAGTTATATATCATCTGTTGACTTGTAATTGTATTCATTATCCAGTATTATGGTATGACCTAGTAATTGCTCAAAGAGGATTTGTTGCAGCCCTTTTGGCTACCTGGCAAAAATATTAGTAGCCTTATTGCTACTTGGTAAAATTAAACACTGAGGTCTGGTTAAGATGGTTAACAGTGACAACATGCTGTCAGACCTATTTGACATTAATAACATTATCAATGCAGCCTATGAGGTATATCTGCCAATATATTATGGTGTTCTGCTTGAACAGTAATTCAACATAATGTACTTGAAATTTGACATATGGCACAAACGGTTCAAAGCAATATTTGAAAGCAGTGCACTTCTGCAGATTTCAAGCAGCACTATGTGACGAAGCAGTAAACTCACTTTGTTAATTTGGAATGGCGCCGCATAAACTGCACTCTAGACCAATATCAACATGTTCTTATAATTGAATCAAGAATGCCATAAGTACACATTTACCTAGTGTTTGTGGTGACTTGAGGTTACAAATTATCCAGGTAAGTTGGATGAAATACCTCAATCTTCAATATTGTGAAGCACTCAAGCAGGGTTTGAGACGTCAGAATCCAACATTCTGATGTGTTGAGATGGTATCCTGAGTGGTGAATGGACACTCAAGATGTTTAATATAGACTTCAATCTTCGACTAAATCTCAAAGCATAACAATGTAGATATTGACTACAAAAGCAAAGCACGGCTAACTTGCCGCCATTGTTTCATTTTCTGCTCATGGTTGTAGGGTTCGCTTTAGCGTTATTGTAGATTATCACCGCGCTGCACTGAGTTTCTTATGGTAGTTGCGCAGAATACTGAAAAGTAGCGTCGCAGAAATTGTCCCTCAAGAATTCACCAAATAAATATTATGAGACACAACGGTGATGCCTAGATAATGAAATACTATGAACTTATATTTCTACAAGAATAGTTCTAAGCAAACAAACGACTTGCAATGTCATATTATTTGGTTCCTTGCATTGGGAACTCACTGCTACTACATTCAGCACAACTAATTGTAGTAAATTAAATAACAATACGCCAAACTCAAATACAAAAAAGAGAACAGTAACAAAAATAAGGAGCTTCAGTCATCTGCATTGATGACACCATGGGTGAATTCCACAGATTCTTTGAAAGTTGGGACTTCATTGTATCTGAAAAACAAAATGACTCTGAAACAAATTCCGCTATTTCTCAAGTACAGTAAACTAGGGTCAAACGCTGCATAGCAGTGCTACATAACATCGTCATTATTTAATGCAGGACCGAGAACATTCTTAACACTAACGAAACAATCCATAAATAAACCATTCAAGTTATAATGATTTTCAAACTTGTCAGTATTGCCTGTCCGTCTGGGAATAAAGTGAACGACACTAATTAGAAGTGATACATTTAATGGCAAAACGAATTTATGGATCATCTTTATTTTGAGGAACGCGACGTTTTGTGTGAACTAGTAAGAATATACCCCGTAACGTAGTATTCCTCAAAATAAAAAAGTTGACATCCATAAATTCTAGCTTTTAATCGGAGAATAGTTTTTCTTTTTTAAATCCGCCTAAAACAAACCCCGCTTTTTCATTATACACTGAATCATACAGTTATTGATAACTCTTTGTAATGGTTACAATAACATATCAAAATAGGTTTTGGGTGAAATGTGTAACAGACAAGAATCTATAATCACATCAGAATGAATGACACATCGTTAAACTAGCGCTTGCATTATTTGGTAGTTTGTAGTTTATACGTTTCACAAAATAACCACAAGAACTCTATGAAAACATCGATATGGGTTTCTTATTTATAGATAGAACAACATGTCACACTATTATTCAAACAGAAACCATACATACTATTGTTGTATGTGATAAGCATTGAACAGTTGTTGTTGTTTCCAAAAAGTTTTAGTATCGGTACAGAAAAAAACCCGTACCGTGCCGGAAAAAGTCATGATGCGCCGATTACACGGTGTATCTTTTTCAACCCTACTACACACATGGCATAACAAGGATGTACAGGAGATCAGAGTTAGGATAGCTAGGAGAGATATTTAAAGCAACATTTTACCCAATTTTTCCGATTGTTTTCTCAGATAGTTTTCTTCTTTTTAGTGAACAAATATTAAAATTCAAGTGAATAAAAGTGAAAATGTGGTCAGCACAATTTAATTGCATGAAAGAAAATTTAAATATGGGATGAAATTCATCAGCAATCCCCTGGCTGTTAGATGAAGTGAGGTGAGGTGAGGTGAAATTGGGTTAAACGTCGTGCTTAAGAATATTTCACTCATATGACGACGGGCATGCGTGTGTACGTGTATGTGCGGCTGCTTGTACTAGCCCAGACTTAAGCTGGTTTTATAGTGCTAGCTCACTGAGATACCATGCCACAGTTAAGCATGAACACCCCACTCAGACACATTATACTGACTCCGAGCCGACCAGTCCTTGTTGTACCCATTAATGCCGAGCGCCAGGCAGGGACCAACAAGTACCATATTTCAACGTCTTTTGGTATGACGCGGTCGGGGATCGAACCCGCGACCTTCCGCTCTCCGGGCGGACGCTCTAACTTCACTACACCACGGAGGCGGTCGTTAGATGAAGTGAGTATATGGTTTTAGGCTGCTTTTACCAATATTCCAGGTGATCGGAAAAGTAACAGGAAAAAAAGAAACGGAAAAAAGTAACAGATTTTGCTAGGAAAAAGTAACAGGAAAAAATAGAAACAGATTTTAAACGGGCCTTGTTTTGGCCAAAGCTGTTCGGTGACGTGGCAATGCGGTCCAAGTGCAGACGCGCACGGCAATATCCCTCTTTATGGCGACAGCTGAGAAATAATCGGGTCTGGACCAGATAATCCAGTGATTAACATCATATACATCTACCTACGCAACAGGGATAGGATGTTATGTACATCAACCAAATCAAAGGAGCCTGCACACCCGATCCCGTTACGATTGACGAAGACGACCGTTTAAAATGAGAAATACTTAAATCTAATCAGATAACGCTAGCCATATAAAACAGACATATCATCCCATTATCTACTTTCCTGACTATAAATTGTGTGCGTGCGTGAGTTAGTGAGTGAACCACTCGGTCCGGAGTGCATGTTAAAAGGCATCTTAAAAAGTTCACAAGACGCAAAGTCAATTTGCATTTATTAGATTCTAATTTCAGATAAATGAGCTTGTTTTTCGATTTTGCAGAAACAAATACGAACTGTATAAACAAATAGCGACATAGTGGATAGTGAATTAACAAATATGGAGGATGCGTAGCAGGCTATCTTCCCCAGTGAAAGAACAGCCAACCAAAATATTTCTGTGATTGACTCGTGGCATCCTTTCACGAGGGACAGATAATCTGTAAGGTGTAATTCTGTGTTTGGAATATCTAAAGACATATTTGTCATTTTACAATCGATGAGAGAACTTTAGTGAAGCCACCATTTTGTTCATGGTGACACGAGTGGCCAGTCGTCTGAGGCACCACAATTCGCCGTACAGAGTTGTGTCCCCTATGCACGCCAGAAGCCGATGTTCGTGGATTCAAGTGCCGGTTCGACCCAGTTATATGTCTACGTTTTTCAGCACCATGTGCGTGCCTGTTGTTTCACTTCGGAATTTCCCCACGCATCAAAATAGGGGCCAGGGCTATGTCATCCCATCAGCTTACAACCACCTAATCCAAAACTAATCAATCCAATCTCCCGCTCTCTGGCTTCTCTAACTAATCCACTCCCTAATTAGTTATCCCCACTCTCACTGGTAATCCCATTCATCATGCTTTATCTTGCCTCGGCTTGTCCATGTATAATTATGCTTGTTTTCATTGTTAATCATCTTGTATCCATTGTCACTGTTAGTTCTCATGTACCGTATATATATGCTGCTACATCCATGCACTACCTCATGCTTGAAAACGTATATGTATCTGTACCGAATCGTCGCTATTGTACAATAAAGAAGCTGATCACCCGTAAACACTTATCATTCCTATAATACTTACAACTCTTTGAATACCTCTCAAACAGATCAAAATGTCCTTTATAATAGGAATATTTAAAGCTTACATGCAAAGCAAAACACAACTTTGCAGATTCTGATACCTTTCGGTATGGACTTACAGTAAAATCGCCTTTAAACCCAACTGCTTCAGTCTCTCACTCCTATTGTTCAGATGACTGGCCATTCGGCAACACAATCGCTGTAATACAGAATTATTGGAAAGGTTTAACACTCAGTTCTTCTTCCCACTTGGGTAATTATGTTCATTCACAAACCTAGAACGTAATATTCACCATGCAGTGCTCATATCTTTTGCAGTGCCCCAGACCCTTGAAATACCTCCTCTTGGCCACATGACAATTTATGGTATGGATTTACAACTTCTTCATTATTTACAACACTATTCAACTTGAGCTAGGTTCTTGAGAGGCATATAGAAGTTGGTATTCAAGTATAAGACAAAATATTATGGATCTCAACTTCTTCTTTATTGTATACACAACGTTTCTGGACTTTTCCTTGCCCTTTCGTCAGGCGAATGACGCGGTGAAACGTTGTGTATACAATAAGGAAGACGTTAACCTCCATAATATTTGTCTTATGCTTGACAACTTCTTTATTATATACAACACTTTTCAATTTCTTTATTATTTACAACACGATTTACAACTTCTGCATTGGCCGTTACCATGTCTTGGCATTATTAAAACATTATGTCATCATTTCCATGATTTTCATAATTAAAAGCACCCTTCCTCGACGTCTTTCTATACACAGTATCTCCGTTTCACTTGGCATTGAAATATATCGGTTGGAAAATAGCACAATACCTGAGTTTGTTGACACTTTTCCTGTCAGCCAATCATAAACTCTTTCACTGATATATGTTTGTGTCGCTTTCCCTGATTGGTTCAAACTGAGTTCACGCACCTGTTCATCCAGGTGAATATCGCCAAAGATAACAACTACTTCCTCGAAAGGATTACAAGATAATACTTTGAGAAATATTTCTTGTCGTTGGAATATACGTGTTATAAAGAGTTGATACAAGAATGGAGCCGAAAAAGAAAAACGCGATGGCTGTGACACTGGTCTTTGGAATTTTGGGTGTTTCCCTGCTAATCGCTTCATTTGCGACAGACCACTGGGTGAAATCGTCACCGGTACTAAAGCGGTCCACCCAATCACCTGCAAATGAGACTGACGGCAGTGCTACAAAATACACCGGCAATATCACATTCGGACTTTTTCGTGGATACCGTGTCCTGGATTACGGAATTGGCCCGAGACCGCAGGATATAAATGGTAATTTAATTCGAGTGCAACACCTGGATTTGTGTGACGACAGTGATTTCGACTTGTATGCATGTAACATGTTCGTGGTGAAATAGATTAGTTGAATCGGAGGTTTGACAAGATAAAGGGTTGTCGTGGCATGTACTATGATGTAGGCCACCATCTGGGGAATCATGAATTTAGGTTAACCAAAAACACACAGAGACCCACATTCCTCGGTACCAGGTAATGAAATCACCTACTAACCTATGTCATATATAACATTCAGTGTCACACTCAAAGCCTGTGCCAGATACAGGTTGACATGGCAGCTATAAATGTCTGATTGAATGAGCCCGTATTTGAGCTGAAGGGGTCGTTGTTGGCACAGGTATACAGATGTATGTATACCGAAATGTACCCAGAACAAACTCAATATACAGAAACAACCAAGACCATATGTAGTTATTCCTGTATTGTACCAGTGTCGACGACCCTTTCAGGAATATTAATGACTAAAAAATAAGCCCTTAAAGAGTAATATATAGTCATCCACACTGTTTCCATTGTTTATTGCCCCTCCGTTCTAGTAACTTCTACAAACAGTATTTCTGACTCACATTCTTCATCTGTAGTAGGGGCGGTTGGTAGCCTTGTTAAAGCGTTCGCTTAGTCACGCCAAAGACCTGGGTTCAATTCCCCACATGGGTACAATGTGTGAAGCCCTTTTTCTGGTGTCCCCTGCCATATTTCTGGAATATTGCTAAAAACGGTGTAAAACTAAACTCACTCACTCATCTGTAGTAATTTAGTAATTTTTATTTCACATCTGTGTATCTTCATGTCTGTTTATGAAGTCCTAGCTATCATTTCATGACCTTTGTGTGTCTGTAAGATGCATCTGTCAATTTTCTGATCTCTATCTTTTGTGGTTGTAACTTTGTCCTCTTGACTTGTCATGCTTCTGTATTTAGCTTTCCTATGTTGATAATATTTTGCATGTATGCATTTTATTTCCTTTGTGAAGTTTATGTTTTTGTTCTCTTTAATTCTGGAAAAATCACATATGAAGAGGTTGACAGCTGTTAGTGTTTGATGGAAGTTTGTAGTGGACATTGCTTTTTGTCCAAACTAAATTGTTTTTCAGTTCACATTTCTGTATAATATATATTGTATTCTCAATCACACTTTATTCAGTATGGTTGTGCCATAGGACGTTACATACAAACTTAAGTACAGTTTAGGTACAAATAGTATTGAATGCAGCATATATTTTTAAAACAAAACCAGATTTAATATAATGCTTTTATTATATGCTGTTAGACTTGGTTGACTGTCAATTAATTGGCAAATAAGAGGATTGGCTGTATATACTACCGGTAATATTGATGCTGATAAAGTTAATCACTGGATTGTCTTGTCCAGTCATGATTATTTACAGACTGTCATCATTTGGCTGGAATATTGCTGAGTGTGGCTTACCAGAAGTGGACATTAAATTCTAAAGAACTGAATTTTAGAACAAGCTTACTTGTACAACACTTTGTACACATCTAGTATGACAGAACAAACTTACTGCCAAGGTAGGATCTTTAAAGACACTTTGTAAATCCTGTTAGAATTTCCATCCCCATTTTTTATGAATACAGTGTCAGCTTTCTTCTGTGTGATTTTTCAACACAGTGATATTTTCTCCAGTTGCTATAATACACAGATGTTTTACAGCGGTTTTAGTCCTCTGTTGTGAAGATCTGACAAATCTCTCCAAAGTAAGTTCAGGTGACTTCTAAATAAATGTCATTTGTTGAATAAAAAAATAAGCGTGTATAAATTCATGAGACTTTGGCATGATCACATGTCACCTTGCGGAATCATTTCAGCTTCATTGTCAGATTTGCCAATAGACTTTACTATATTCTTAATTTTCAAGAATTTGCTCTGATTGGCTTGTCAGAACGTCCACTAAACATGACTTTCCCATGGAGGGTTTGATTTTGTCAGATCTTGATGGAAGGAGGTACTGAATTGGAGTAAAAGATCTCCAGTTGGGTAGAGTTGGAGGGTGAGGGTGGTGATGGGTGGTAGAGGAGGAGGGTGAGTTGGAGAGTGAGGGGGTGATAGATTAAGGGGGTAATAGCGTGGCAGAGCAGGAGGGTGGTGAGGTTGGAGGAGTGAGGGGTGGGGTGGGGTGTGTGATAGATTAGGGGGGTAGTAGCGTGGCAGAGCAGGAGGGGTGGGTTGGAGGGTGATAGGGTGTGGCTAGGAGGGTGAGGGGGTTGGGTGTGGTGGTAGGGTGATAGGTTAGGGGGTGGTAGTTCAAGTTGGAGGGTGTGGTGTGTTGACAGGGTGGTGGTAGAGTCGGAGGGCAGGGGTGGGGTGGGAGGATAGTAAGTGGTGAGGGGGTGATAGGGTTTGTAGAATAGGAGGGTGTGGTGTTTGATGAAGGGTGGTTGAGTCGGAGGGTGAGGGTGGCGTTGATAGGGTGAATGGAAGGAGTGAGGAGGAGGCTTGATAGGGAGGTAGTGGTAGAGTGGTAGGTAGGAATATAATAGTGTAATGGTTGAGGCACTAGCTTGGGACATTAAGAGCATGATGGGGCAGGTGGGGAAAGACAAGGTAGTGGAGTAGGACAGGTGGTGATAGGACAGGTGGGGGAAAGACAAGGTAGTGGAGTAGGACAGGTGGTGATAGGACAGGTGGGGGAAAGACAAGGTAGTGGAGTAGGACAGGTGGTGATAGGACAGGTGGTGATAGGACAGGTGGGGGAAAGACAAGGTAGTGGAGTAGGACAGGTGGTGATATGACAGGTGGTGATAGGACAGGTGGGGGAAAGACAGGGTAGTGGAGTAGGACAGGTGGTGATAGGACAGGTGGTGATATTGTGGTGGACTAGAGGTGAGGTACAGTGGGGAATGTATAGCAGTAGGTAAGTGGTTATATATGGTAAACATGGTTATTGTGACAGGAGAAAATCACATTGTGTCTGCATGTTGTGTGTTTCTCTCTCAGTTGTGTGTAGTGGGTCCGATGGGGTCTGCGCCTGGTCAAACAGTTCTGACCCAGCCAAGCGAGCAGACTATATGAAGCGTATTGTCAAGTTTGTCGACAATGTCAAGACTAATGGCACTGGTAATATCTTCTCTCCTCTATCCAAGTACCTTCCACCAAACTTTGCCTACCTAAAACATCCCCGGCTAACCTACCTACCTACCTTCATTGGGCTCACCTGACATATATGTACCTGTAACGACCATACCTGACAACACCCATAATAGCCGTGCTTGACATACCTACCTGACATGTCAACCCATAATGACCCAGCTTGATATAGCCCGGGATAAACCTAGGATGCGTTTCTGCGACATTTCCGCATCAAAATATGAATTGCCGCTGACAGAAATTTGGTTTGGGTCCTGTGGACTCAAAATATTTTAAAAAGCTGCATCCAAAATATACAAGTGCGGCCTAAGTAAATAAATATTGTTATCGTTCACCGCAATCGAGCAAAAGACTATTACGTGAACCAGTTTTAATCCACATACAATAATAACCCTGATTGGTTTATCCCTGTATAGCCACTTATAAAGATCCTGCCTGACATATATCCACCTGTTAGAGCCGATCCTGACATACCATCTGATGGTATATCTCACATGTATAATGAACCCACATGATATACTACTTGACTACATACAACAGACAACATGTACACAGGGTGAGTTGATATACCACCTGACTACAGATAACAGCCATGTACACAGGGTGAGTTGACGTACCACATGACATTAGACAGAAGATCTTTATACAGGGTGAGTTGACGTACCACATGACATTAGACAGAAGATCTTTATACAGGGTGAGTTGACGTACCACCTGACTACAGATAACAGCCATGTACACAGGGTGAGTTGACGTACCACATGACTACAGACAACAGCCATGTACACAGGGTGAGTTGACATACCACCTGACTACAGATAACAGACATGTACACAGGGTGAGTTGATGTACCACCTTACTACAGACAACAGCCATGTACACAGGGTGAGTTGACGTACCACATGACATTAGACAGAAGATCTTTATACAGGGTGAGTTGACGTACCACCTGACTACAGACAACAGCCATGTACACAGGGAGGGTTGGACGTTACCACCTGACTACAGACAACATGTACACAGGGTGAGTTGATATACCACCTGACTACAGATAACAGCCATGTACACGGGGTGAGTTGGACGCACCACCTGACATTAGACAGATCTTTATACAGGGTGAGTTGACGTACCACCTGACTACAGATAACAACCATGTACACACGCGGGTGAGTTGGCAATTACCACCTGACATTAGACAGAAGATCTTTATACAGGGTGAGTTGACGGTATTACCACCTGACTACAGACAACAGCCATGTACACAGGGTGAGTTGATTACCACATGACTACAGACAACAGACATGTACACAGGGTGAGTTGACGTACCACCTGACTACAGATAACAGCCATGTACACAGGGTGAGTTGACGTACCACCTGACTACAGATAACAGCCATGTACACAGGGTGAGTTGACGTACCACATGACTACAGACAACAGACATGTACACAGGGTGAGTTGACGCATACCACTTCACTGCAGATAACAGCCATGTACACAGGGTGAGTTGACGTACCACCTGACTACAGACAACAGCCATGTACACAGGGTGAGTTGACGTACCACCTGACATTAGACAGAAGATCTTTATACAGGGTGAGTTGACGTACCACCTGACTACAGATAACAGCCATGTACACAGGGTGAGTTGACGTACCACCTGACTACAGACAACAGCCATGTACACAGGGTGAGTTGACGTACCACCTGACTACAGATAACAGACATGTACACAGGGTGAGTTGATGTACCACCTTACTACAGACAACAGCCATGTACACAGGGTGAGTTGACGTACCACATGACATTAGACAGAAGATCTTTATACAGGGTGAGTTGACGTACCACCTGACTACAGACAACAGCCATGTACACAGGGAGAGTTGAAGTACCACATGACTACAGACAACATGTACACAGGGTGAGTTGATATACCACCTGACTACAGATAAGAGCCATGTACACGGGTGAGTTGACGTACCACATGACATTAGACAGAAGATCTTTATACAGGGTGAGTTGACGTACCACCTGACTACAGATAACAACCATGTACACAGGGTGAGTTGGCGTACCACCTGACCACAGACAACATGTACACAGTGTGAGTTGACGCACGACCTGACCACAGAAAACATGTACACAGGGTGAGTTGACGTTACCACCTGACTACAGATAACAGCCATGTACACAGGGTGAGTTGACGCATTACCACATGACTACAGACAACAGACATGTACACAGGGTGAGTTGGCGTACCACTTCACTGCAGATAACAGACATGTACACAGGGTGAGTTGGACGTACCACATGACATTAGACAGAAGATCTTTATACAGGGTGAGTTGACGTACCACCTGACTACAGACAACAGCCATGTACACAGGGTGAGTTGACGTACCACCTGACTACAGATAACAGCCATGTACACAGGGTGAGTTGACGTACCACCCTGACCACAGACAACATGTACACAGTGTGAGTTGGCGTCACGACCTGACCACAGACAACATGTACACAGGGTGAGTTGACGTACCACCTGACTACAGATAACAGCCATGTACACAGGGTGAGTTGACGTACCACATGACTACAGACAACAGACATGTACACAGGGTGAGTTGACGTACCACCTGACTACAGATAACAGCCATGTACACAGGGTGAGTTGACGTACCACATGACATTAGACAGAAGATCTTTATACAGGGTGAGTTGACGTACCACCTGACTACAGACAACAGCCATGTACACAGGGTGAGTTGACGTACCACATGACATTAGACAGAAGATCTTTATACAGGGTGAGTTGACGTACCACATGACATTAGACAGAAGATCTTTATACAGGGTGAGTTGACGTACCACATGACATTAGACAGAAGATCTTTATACAGGGTGAGTTGACGCATTTCCACCTAACTACAGATAGCAGCCATGTACACAGGGTGAGTTGGCGTACCACATGACAGACAGATCTTTATACAGGGTGAGTTGACGTACCACCTGACTACAGATAACAGCCATGTACACAGGGTGAGTTGACGTACCACATGACATTAGACAGAAGATCTTTATACAGGGTGAGTTGACGTACCACATGACATTAGACAGAAGATCTTTATACAGGGTGAGTTGACGTACCACCTGACTACAGATAACAGCCATGTACACAGGGTGAGTTGACGTACCACATGACATTAGACAGAAGATCTTTATACAGGGTGAGTTGACGTACCACCTGACTACAGATAACAGCCATGCACACAGGGTGAGTTGACGTACCACATGACATTAGACAGAAGATCTTTATACAGGGTGAGTTGACGTACCACATGACATTAGACAGAAGATCTTTATACAGGGTGAGTTGACGTACCACCTGACTACAGATAACAGCCATGTACACAGGGTGAGTTGACGTACCACATGACATTAGACAGATCTTTATACAGGGTGAGTTGACGCACCACATGACTACAGACAACAGCCATGTACACAGGGTGAGTTGATGCACTCACCTGACATTAGACAGAAGATCTTTATACAGGGTGAGTTGACATACCACATGACTACAGACAACAGCCATGTACACAGGGTGAGTTGACGTACCACTTCACTGCAGATAACAGACATGTACACAGGGTGAGTTGATCGTACCACATGACATTAGACAGAAGATCTTTATACAGGGTGAGTTGACGTACCACCTGACTACAGATAACAGCCATGTACACAGGGTGAGTTGACGCATACCACCTGACTACAGATAACAGCCATGTACACAGGGTGAGTTGACGTACCACATGACATTAGACAGAAGATCTTTATACAGGGGAGAGTTGACGTATTACCACATGACATTAGACAGAAGATCTTTATACAGGGTGAGTTGACGTACCACCTGACTACAGATAACAGCCATGTACACAGGGTGAGTTGGCGTACCACATGACATTAGACAGAAGATCTTTATACAGGGTGAGTTGGCGCACAACCTGACTACAGATAACAACCAGACACACAGGGTGAGTTGGCGCACCACATGACATTAGACAGAAGATCTTTATACAGGGTGAGTTGACGTACCACATGACATTAGACAGAAGATCTTTATACAGGGTGAGTTGACGTACCACCTGACTACAGATAACAGCCATGTACACAGGGTGAGTTGACGTACCACATGACATTAGACAGATCTTTATACAGGGTGAGTTGATCGCACCACATGACTACAGACAACAGCCATGTACACAGGGTGAGTTGACGCACCACATGACATTAGACAGAAGATCTTTATACAGGGTGAGTTGACATACCACATGACTACAGACAACAGCCATGTACACAGGGTGAGTTGACGTACCACATGACATTAGACAGAAGATCTTTATACAGGGTGAGTTGACGTACCACCTGACTACAGATAACAGCCATGTACACAGGGTGAGTTGACGTACCACATGACATTAGACAGAAGATCTTTATACAGGGTGAGTTGACGTACCACCTCACTACAGATAACAGCCATGTACACAGGGTGAGTTGACGTACCACATGACATTAGACAGAAGATCTTTATACAGGGTGAGTTGACGTACCACCTGACTACAGACAACAGCCATGTACACAGGGTGAGTTGACGTACCACCTGACTACAGATAACAGCCATGTACACAGGGTGAGTTGACGTACCACCTGACCACAGACAACATGTACACAGGGTGAGTTGACGTACCACCTGACTACAGACAACAGCCATGTACACAGGGTGAGTTGACGTACCACATGACATTAGACAGAAGATCTTTATACAGGGTGAGTTGACGTACCACCTGACCACAGACAACATGTACACAGGGTGAGTTGACGTACCACCTGACCACAGACAACATGTACACAGGGTGAGTTGACGTACCACATGACTACAGACAACAGCCATGTACACAGGGTGAGTTGACGTACCACATGACATTAGACAGAAGATCTTTATACAGGATGAGTTGACGTACCACATGACATTAGACAGAAGATCTTTATACAGGGTGAGTTGACGTACCACATGACATTAGACAGAAGATCTTTATACAGGGTGAGTTGACGTACCACATGACATTAGACAGAAGATCTTTATACAGGGTGAGTTGACGTACCACCTGACATTAGACAGAAGATCTTTATACAGGGTGAGTTGACGTACCACATGACATTAGACAGAAGATCTTTATACAGGGGAAGACTCAATTGCTCACACACACATTTTCTGATGTCGGTTACACAACAAGAACCTGACTTGATCTGAGTGTGTCTTGACTGATGTTTGGATTAAATAGGTGTGAGGAAACATGTAGTTTTAGGATTTTATATGTTGGGGATTTGTTGAACATCATTTCAGACATCAGCATATGAAAGCCTCAGAGCAAATATGCACAGTCAACGATCAGGAGATCGTGTCATCAACAGAGAGGTCATGTCAATATCCGACTATGCTTGAGCATATTTCCTGCATAGCTCACCCTCAGAGAGCTGTCCTTTTTCACTTGATGTAGCAGCTGCATGGTTATTTCTCAATGACTTGACTTGTCTGACATTGTGTCTAAAATTGACTATGTTCCTCTCTTTTTTCAGGAATACAATAGATAGAAATTTCTTGCTGATAATTTTTCATGGCATTAAAATTTCACTGATGTGATAGCACTTCATGACAAAGCAGGATGATGGACCTTGAGGACCGTCTCCTATGGCATGTCCCCCCCTTCCCCCCCCCCACTCATCCTCTCACTCTGTTTCACCGTGAAGATCCGGGTTAGAATTGGTCTTCAGTAACCCATGCTTGTCGTAAGAGGCGACTAACAGGATCGGGTGGTCAGGCTCGCTGACTTGGTTGACACATGTCATTGTATCCCAACTGGATCACTGGATTGTCTGGTACAGATTCAATTATTTACAGACCACCTCCATACAGCTGGAATATTGCTGAGTGCGGCATAAAACTAAACCCACTCACTCACTCACCTCCTGCGCTGTAAATTCTAAGATGCTTCACAACAAGATCAAAGGCGCCGACAGTTCTTTATCAGGCAATAATGAATGCGGCGTTAATCAACCAACCAACCAATCACCCTGTAAATTCCCTCGCCCCCCCTTGGATACAAGTGTGTATTCAGCCCCACTCCTATCTTGTACTTTCTCATGCAATAATTATTAGTTTAAATGATAATTTCTAGGTTATATCAATGAAAAGAACACATTATCCCTCTAAGAGACTGGTGTTCTTACTGTCTACTTATCAGGGGGTGGAAATAACCCATTGCCCGTACTATCGTCCGAGTCCAGTGTTTTTTTCTGTCGGGCAAGCAGATTCTAGTATCTATATCACACTGTACCACTGTAACAGGAAGTGTATTTTAGCCCCATGATCCCTCCTGCGCTGTCAGGTCAATGCTCATGCTGCTGATCACTGGATTGTCTGGTCCAGACTCGATTATTTACAGACCACCGCCATATAGCTGGAATTATGATTGCTGAGTGTGGCGTAAAACTGAACCCACTCACTCACCTCCTGCGCTGTAAATTCTGAGATGCTTCACAACAAGATCAAAGGCGCCGACAGTTCTTTATCAGGCAATAATGTACACTTTTGTATGACGCCACACTGAATTGATGTCATTACACCATCCTAGTCTGCCCCCTTGAAATCAGACGCACCCTTGGTAACCGATACCAGGACTGACATCAGTTGTCATTCCTATAGCACAACTCAGTTAGCGCTGCGTTTCATGGTTTGCAGTTGCTTCAGTTGCCTGTTATCACTGGTGGAAACATTAAGTTTAACTCTAACAACAAAAAAATGCCTCGGCTTGAATCACAATTAAACAGCAACACAGTAGCAGTCCCACAAAGCATCCGTGGAATGTCACGTGAACAGTCATCTTCATGTAGATGTACAGGGCCCCGTTCCTCAAAGCGATCGTAAAGCGCTAAGGTGATCTTAACTCCCATACTTTAACATAGACTTACGACTGTCGTAGCGCTACGATCGCTTTGAGGAACGGGGCCCTGATCACAATATACTAGTATAGGAAGTAAACAAATGTTTATGTTGTCCCTCGTGGTTTACAATCATCACAAATGTTATTGAAATAGTATAGACAAGATGTTTAATATAGACTGTCTTGAAACTTTTGTAATTTGTTCTAATGGTGAAGACAGTATCTGAACTTCGGGGGCAGACACATCAATAGAACAGCACGTCAGTTAGCCCTAAATGAGGGTTGTTAATTTACTTTTTTATTTAGGTCACCGACATTGTTTTTATTTGTTTTGTGCCCTATCTATATTGTTGGTAAGTATTGAATTTGGCACCTTAGAAAAGAAACACAGGTCACTCTCATGATTTAGCAATATTGGTTTGTGTCAAACCTGTACTTTATTACGCTATACTTTATTTTATTTTATTATAGGATATTTATATAGCGCACATATCCACGCACTAGTGCATGCTCAAGGCGCTGGTATTTTTTCCCTGATCATTGGATGTCAATCTCAACGGCACATTGCATTATCAATCTCAACTCCCTGGGGAGTATACAACTCTTGCAGCCACTAGGCGCACCGAGTTATTGTGGCTTTCTCATTCTAACGAGGTACCCATTCACAGCTGGGTGGACTGGGACACAGAGTCACAGTACTTTGTCCATGTTCACTGCACGTTGCTGTACCCGCAACTAGGTGTTTGCACGTATTCATGTGGCCACCATCTGGTCAAATACCAACGAATTCGTGGGTTCTTTTAAGTGCACAGGGTTGTGCATAGACATTCTCTTCCCACAGAGGGTACTTGTCATATCTTCCTACGAACCTCTGTTCTAATACGGCCCTTTCATGGTGCAAATGTTCAGGATTCGTGATTGGTTGCAATCAGGTTTAGCTGTGCAATCAGCGACATTGTTTCAAAAGTGATCATTCGCAAGGTCTTGGTAATTTCCGTATGCTTCTGGAAAACTGGAACCTCTTCGCATGCACGATGCGCAAATGTTTCTTCTAGACAGAACTCAGTCAAGTAATGGCAGATCAATGGCGTCTCCATCACCCTCGTTGACAACGGACAAGCTAGCCATTAAATGCTGTGTGTGTCACATCAACACAAGTCCCCGGCAGAGGAAGGATATTTGTGGCCCAACATTTGCTTGTAATAGTCAAGCTGGATCTAATTCGATGTAACACGTGTTCTGATTGGATAGAAAGAAGGGAGACAATTCCTGTTGCGATTTTTTGCTGCTAGGGTATTTTACGGGAACCGGGAAATATGTCCGTATCAGAACAGAAGTTACGTGGGAAGATATGACAAGTAACCTCTGTGCGAAGAGAATGGTGGACAGAGTGAACTGTAAATCTGACATTCTGTTTACTGCATGTGTTTGAATGGGTCAGTTTCATGGCAGTACTATGCATATATTCTGTAAAAATAACTCCCATTAACCTACAAGGATTCATTTGACAAATGTGTTCTCGTTGTCATGGTGATAAAAAACATTGCTTATGAAATAGTTGTTTTGGCTTCTTAATGTTCGCAGTGACGTTCTGTAGATGTTTAAAATGTATACACATGTGATGCCCGAGCATTGGGGGAGATTGTGATCTGAATGAGCAGGAAAGTAGTATTCAACCCTTAGCTCACCTTCCACATGTTTTATAGCTCACCTGGTCATCTTGGTTTCAGTGAAGGATCTCATCGATTATGGTTTGTTTAACTTTGGACTGTGGGTCTCCACCATAGTTATGCTTGCCTTGGGGATTGTCTGGGGGCTGGTATCCCTCGGTTTCACGGCTTTCAACGTTGTCGGCAAACCCATCGAGACCATCACCGGACCGGCCGGACTCTATCTTTGGAATGGATTGGCAGGTAAGTAACTCAGACAACTGAAGTAAAATTCCAAACGTCTATTCTGAAGACATTTTGGTTTGCATTAAAACTACTCACGAAAAACCATCCAATTCATATTGGTTGTGTTTGCCAATACATTAGGGGATGGTTGGGAGCGCATGCAAGGTAGTTTAGAAGTGGAAGACAGTGGAAAATGATAGACAAGGCCTTTTGGCATCAGACTAGTGACTTTTGGCATTAGACTAGTGGCTTTTTATTGTTAGACTTGAGTGCTGCTTTGAATTAGAATTCTGTAGTGCTTATAAATCTTCCATAGTTTCCTCATTTGTAATTGTCATCTGTTATCACATTAAGTTCCTTGTTCAGGGATGCGTGAAGGTCCGGGTTAGAATATTGGCCTTCAGTAACCCATGCTTGTCGTAAGAGGCGACTAACGGGATCGGGTGGTCAGGCTCGCTGACTTGTTTGACACATGTCATTGGGTCCAAATTGCACAGATCCATGCTCATGCTGTTTATCACTGGATTGTCTGGTCCAGACTCAATTATTTACAGACTGCCATCATATAGCTGGAATATTGCGCGTACAACTTACTCACTCACTCACTCCTTGTTTAGGTCAAAGATAAGTGTTTCAAATTTAGTTGATAAGTTTTTCAGTTAAATTTAGACAAATGCACATGTTAAGTCCACTGCGCATCAATGTCTTTAAAAGTGCAATCAACTTTATATCTGTGGTTTAATTCAGTGAGATTGTAGTTTTATCAAAAGTGAAAATCATTAACTCACTTTTCACTCAGGGTCATTGAGTACCGGGCTGACATTTTCTGTCATGTTCTTGTCTGATGTGTTGAAACATTTCCACTGAGCATGATATTCCAGTTGTTTTTGTACACCTATTTAATGTGCAGCGTTGGGTGTACCAGAAACGTAGGATTGTGGATTCAAATTCCACATTTGTGCCGATTATGTTTCAAGGTTTGTCAACGCCATACCAAGAGATGCAGGTTCAGTGATATGTGTCTGCTTCAGATGTACGTCACACCCCTGAAGATCCGTGGTTAGCTTATCATTCGAGGCGACTAACAGGATCGGGTTGTCAGGCTTGCTGACTTGGTTGGCACATGTGATCGTATCCCAATTGCATAGATCGATGATCATACTGCTGATCACTGGATTGTTTGGTCCAGACTCAATTATTTGCAGATGCCTCTATTAGTGGTGTTCCGATGAATTGAAATAATCGAAGATTGGTCGCAGTGACCAAACAACCAAGCAATTGATCACATTTTCTCATAATCGAACACAAACGATTTTGGAACTACTGTTTTAGTCTTTGAAACTCTTGTCGATGGAACATATATTCGAAGTTGTCAGGGCCTGAAAATGTGTTTAATTCTTAGAAAACTCACTTCAATAACTGAAAAGTCATGACTTATAATAGTTGAAGACTCTGAGTAGTTTATGTTCATGATATATTAGTCATCACTTTAAAGTAGCAAGTTGCATCATGTTATACTTATCTGCAATAACAACCTGAATAGAAAAATCTGAGAAATGACGCTAACCAATTTTTTTCGATGATTTCTCGTTGGTAATGAAGCAATCATCAATTGTGAGATTTCAGCCAATTCCCAACACTGGCTGAATATGGTTGGAATATTGCGTGTGGAGTTAAACAACAAACAAACAAACAAACAAACAAACAAATCAGATCTACATCAGGCTTATTCCAACATCAAGTTGACATGCAATGTTGTAGCTCAAATAATGTTCAAATCTGACTTAAATCAACTCGCTCACACCTTGTCTCACAGTCCCCGAACCACATTATTTTCCCTACAGCCTATCCCTCCCTGCAATGCGAAATCCCTCAATGAAGCAAGTCTCCCTGGGGCTCCTTTTCAATTTAAATGTTTTGCTTTTTTTGTTACAATCGAAATTATATATATTCAGAAACTAAGCATTAGTCTGATTCACACCAAGTGGTTGCCTGTTATCTTGGTGTAAAGTGCTACACTGAGGTTAAAAAATTATCTGAACTTTCCTACTTGGGCATGAGATGACTAACAGGATCAGGTGGTCAGGCTCGCTGGCTTTTATGATGTATGTCGTATCCAATTGTGAAGATTGATGCTCATTATGTCAATCATTAGATTTTCTGGTCCAGACTTGATTATTTACAGACCGCCATCAAATAGCTGTAATATTGGCAATTGCAAAATTAAACAAACAAACCATACTTGGACATCAGTTTTCTACTCAGAGGCTGATTACACATCAAATACAGAGGGGCGGTGGGGTAGCCTAGTGGTTAAAGCGTTGGCTCCTCACGCCCGAAGACCGGGTTCGAATCCCCACATGGGTACAATGTGTGAAGCCCATTTCTGGTGTCCCTAGCCGTGATGTTGCTGGAATATTGCTAAAAGCGGCGTAAAACCAAACTCAGTCAGTCAGTCAAATACAGAGACAACAATCATTACCATTTGTGGAGGATCATTTCGTCAGATCTTGCCGTATCTGGGACCATATTCTACTGATACCATTAACATTACTGATGTCTTGCTAATTTTGTCAGTTACTCATTGTCAGTAAAATAAACTGTTGAATGACATCACTACATTCATTGTAATGTATACGGTTCTCATGTGAAACTGGGATGTATATGAAACTGGGGTGTAAGTGAAATAATGAAACAGGTATGTATATGTGTAGTGAAACGGGGATGTTCTGTTGATGAAATTGGGGTGTATAGTGAAACGGGGATGTTCTGTTGGTGAAATTGGGGTGTATAGTGAAACAGGGATGTTCTGTTGGTGAAATTGGGGTGTATAGTGAAACGGGGATGTTCTGTTGGTGAAATTGGGGTGTATAGTGAAACGGGGATGTTCTGTTGGTGAAATTGGGGTGTATAGTGAAACGGGGATGTTCTGTTGGTGAAATTGGGGTGTATAGTGAAACGGGGATGTTCTGTTGGTGAAATTGGGGTGTATAGTGAAACGGGGATGTTCTGTTGGTGAAATTGGGGTGTATAGTGAAACGGGGATGTTCTGTTGATGAAATTGGGGTGTATAGTGAAACGGGGATGTTCTGTTGATGAAATTGGGTTTGTATATGAAACGGGAATGTTCTGTTGGTGAAATTGGGGTGTATAGTGAAACGGAGATGTTCTGTTGATGAAATTGGGGTGTATAGTGAAACGGGAATGTTCTGTTGGTAAAACTGGGGTCTATATGAAACTGGGGTGTAAGTGAAACTGGGATGTATATGAAACTGGGGTGTATAATGAAACGGGAATGTATAGCGAAAATGGATGTGGTAAAACTGGGGTGTATAGTGAAACTGGGATGTATATGAAACTGGGGTGTATAATGAAATGGGAATGTATAGTGAAACTAGGATGAATAGTGAAACGGGGAGGTATTATGAAAATGGACTTGGTGAAACTGGGGTGTATAGTGAAACTGGGATGTATATGAAACTGGGATGTATAATGAAATGGGAATGTATAGTGAAACTAGGATGAATAGTGAAACGGGGAGGTATTATGGAAATGGACATGGTGAAACTGGGGTGTATAGTGAAAGGGGTATGCATTGTGAAACTGGAATGTTCAGTTGGTGAAACTGGGATGTTTAGTAAAACTGGGATGTATAGTAAAACTGAATATCTGTAGGTGAAACAAATGTTCTGTATGTAAAACAGGGATGTTAAGTCGGTGAAACACGATGTTATGTAGTGAAACTCTTAAATAAGTGAACCTCTAATGTTACGAAGGTGAAACTGTGCTGATTGTATGGTGGTGAAACAGCTTTACACCTGGTAGAGTGGGTGGTTGCATGTGCAATATGGAACAAGATAAAGCCATGCAATGCAAGCTAGCCACCAGGAAGTGGGTCAGGCTAGCAGTAACACCTAGCTTAGTGTCTGGCGTGGTCACCACAGGAAAGTATGAGATTACATTCTCTGAAGCCTATCTGAGATACAGATACCAGTCTTGTTGTGGCAAGCAGGGGCGTGGCTCACACTTGATCAATGTTTAAGGAGGCAGGTCACGCTAATGCAAGGCAGCTTATCGTGTTCTTGGCCAGTAACAAAATGGATTGTCACTATACCTGGGATTTACCTGGCTTGTTTACATGGGGGGCCCTGGGGAGTCTCTGCCCATCTGGGAACACAGGGGTCATGTTGTATAATCATAGGTATAAAAAGAGGGGTCCCTGTCTGCAAAATGGAGGTTCCAGAAAGATGTCCAGTCAAAGATGTAACGGGATGGGTGTGCTGTTATGTGTACACGTGACTACACGAGAGATTATTACAATAAACCACAGAATGCAGCACAAAATGTCTCTACAAGTTTTATATATTAAAAACAAAACAAGGTACTTATTTATGATTATACCAGTCAACCAACCTCATTATAAGTGAACCGCCTCCGTGGTGTAGTGGTTAGAGTGTCCGCCTGGAGAGCTGAACGTCGCGGGTTTGATCCCCGACCGCATCATACCAAAAGACGTTAATATTTGGTACTTGTTGGTCCCTGTCTGGCGCTCGGCGTTAATGGGTACAATAAGGACTGGTCGGCTCGGAGTCAGTATAATGTGTCTGAGTGGGGTATTCATGCTTCACTGCGGCATGGTATCTCAGTGGGCTAGCACTATAAAACCAGCTTAGTCTGGGCTAGTACAAGCAGCCACACATACACATACACACGCATGCATGTCGTCATATGAGCGAAATATTCTCAAGCACGACGTAAAACCAAATTTCACCTCACCTCATAGTGTGACTGTCTTTTAAAAGGGGTAAAAAGATAGAAATAAACTAGGTGGTGACTGTGTGAAATTAAATAGCAATGATCTATATTTTTACAGGGATTTTTTTGTACACATTTTTTAGAAATCTGTTGAGTAAAATGTTGCATGCTAAGAAGTTATTATGGACAAGAGATATAGCTTTCTTCAACTGAACTGACTGTATATGTTTCCGTGCGATCACAAACTGGTTACAAACATTTTGAGTGTGTATGGCATATTTTAAAAATGTTAAATGGTTTTGTACAGAAATATATTAAATGTGGTTTTGAAATATGAAAATTGCGGCATTCATCCCAGAAAATGCATACAAATGTTTTGCATCCAATTTTATAATTGTAAGGCCAGTGAGTTAGAAGGTTTTTGTGTGATTAATGCCAGTGTTATTAAACTTGTATTGTCTTGCCCAGACAATTGCCCTGGATCATCCAGCTAGTATATTGATCAATGGATCCAGGATGCTGATTAAAATAAACTGATTTTCCTTGATGTTAACGTGAGTTACCTCAAACACTAGGGATGTGTATTGGCAAATCAATTATATTGCAACGTATTGTGATTCAGGTACCCATATTGCAATTTATTATGGGAACTTAAGTGTTTGACAGTGAAACTAATGTATGTTGATCTTATTTTCTACATTCTACGTCCTTAAAAATATATGTTATGGTTCTGATAACTGTAATCTCAAAATTAGGTTGCGTAGTCAGGGATTCTTGTTTCTTTCTGTTTTATACAATTTATCATGTTTATAGTGTTATAGTAGGCCATTTTGTCATTGAATAGTGTTGAGAATTGGTTAAAATCTCATAATTAATGATTGGTTCATTAAAACCGATCAATCATCGAAAATAATTGGTTACCGTCATTTCTCAAATTTTCCTGGTTATGTTTGGTAATGCTCAAAAACATAGAGAAAAAAACCATGTAGTTATTTCGTGTGTTTAGCAAATTGCACAAAATGCATCTGCAAAATTACACATACTACAAGAAAAATGACTAGTTTGTTAGGAACATAAATTTCCTTGAGTCTATAAGATAGATTTAATCATGACTTGGAACGAGCTTGTAGTTCTTCCTTAACTTCCAGAATTGTTTGTGTTCTGTTATGAGAAGACATGATATTCTCTGAAAATGACTATTGTGAAGAGACTGTTACACAGTAAATACATGTCTCAGGTTCATTAAATTATTCATTGGAACTAAAAATTGAGTTATTTCCTTTGGATTGTCTGGTCTTATTAAATCCATTTTGGGTTGGTAACATTTTGAAGTTACTAGCCCTGATGTCTGGCTGGGTTTTTGGCTTATTGCATATTGCGGTATGCTGGTATTCCGGTAAAAACCGTGCAGTCCTATCTAACACAACTTTGAATGTTATTTCAGTTACTTCTCACGGTATCAGCTTGGTTTGGGAGAAAAGGCCAAAGTGATAATGGTCTCATAAAGGTTTACCACTTCTACAAGGGCCGGTGGGGTAGCCTAGGGGTTATAGCGTTTGCTCGTCACGCCGAAGACCCGGGTTCGATTCCCCACATGGGTACAATGCGTGAAGCCCATTTCTGGTGTTCCCTGCCGTGATATTGCTGGAATATTGCTAAAAGCGGCGTAAAAGCATACTCACTCACTCACTTATACAAACCCACACACATTGGTATGGTGCTGACAAACCGAGAAACGTAATAACTGGGATTCAAACCCAAATTAGACCCGTGAAGGTCCGGGTTAGAATTGATCTTCAGTAACCCATGCTTGTTGTAAGACTAAGAGGCGACTAATGGGATCAGGTGGTCAGACTTGCTGATTTGGCTGACGCTTGTCATCGTATCCAAGTTGCGTAGATCGATGCTCATGCTGCTGATCACTGGATTGTCACAATTATTTACAGGCCGCTGCCGTATAGCTGGAATATTGCTGAGTGCGGCGTAAAACTATACTCACTCACTCACTCAAATCCAAATTGGTACTGTTACAGAATACTGGATACCTAACAGCCATATGCTTTAGTGTCACGTGCACCTCTGTTATGAAGCTGTAAAATTAGAAAAAGTAAGGGAGCATCAAAAGAAGAAATAACAATAAAATTCAGATTATTTGTGACGACTTTCAGTTAGTAAAACTAACCAACGATTTTGAAAATGAAAGGTAAGTTATCACAAATAAAAAATATATGCGTCTTTGAAAGTATGGAGCTATGGTATTCTGGGTGTTGGAGCGAATGAGTGTGGGAAAGTTGCCTAACACTCTCCTAATCCTAACCCTAACCCTAACTCAAACCTAACCCTAACTCTAACCCTAACCATATTCGTTAAACTAACCCTAAAGAAGATTATTAAGTCACGGGTATCCAAGGGCTAAAAAAGTAAGTACACTAAGGTGGCGAAGTACTAAAAACTGGAGTCAAGTTGTGCACATTTTTTACGCAGTTCCAAAGTTTTCAAAGATGGCGGAAGGTATCTGGTATTCTGTAATCTTTCCCCCAAATTCATAGCTTTCTGACAGTGGCTTAGATGACTGACCACCCATGCCATTTTGTTGTTGAAGATACCATGAAGGGTTTGAACGGTCAATGCTGATGTAGATGTTAGTGATTTGTCTTCTCTATCAAAGATGGGTACAACATGTGAAGCCCATTTCTGGTGTCCCCCGCCGTGATTTAGCTGGAATATTGCTAAAAGCGGCATAAAACTAAACTCACTCACTCACTTTCTATCAAAGCTGATGATATAGATGGCTTGTCCTTTCTGTTAGTTGCTGATGTGGTTTTTCATCTGTTTCAGGAACCTTCTCATTACTAGGGGCTCTTCTCTATGTTGGATTGTTCACCAAAGATTTGGCCACTAATGTTTTACCGAAAGACGATGTGGACATTGGTTGGGATTCAAATGATCGCACACAGCTCGACTACTCTTTCTTTTTTGTGGTCGGGGCAGTCTTGTCCTTCTTCGTCAGTAACATCATACTGGTGGTATCCGGCCAGAAGCTGTCCTGCAGCTACAACAGGGCAGCAGAGAAGGAGCTGGACAATGGCATGATCCTCTACTGAGTGGTCAGTCGATCTTCTCAGAACACAGTGTGGAACTGGTCAGTCAAGCACCCTCGAGCCAGTTGGACATGGACAGTGGGGCACACAGCGTGGCAGTCGTCAGTCAAGTGGAACCTAATGTGACTCTAGCTGTCTTTCGTGATGTTTGGTACTTAATGTGACCCAAGGGGCCTTGTGTGACTCTTGGGACCTTGTGTGACACTTGGGACCAATGTGACACTTGGAACCCGGTCTAACTCTTGGAACCTTGTGTGATTCTTGGGACCTAGTGCAACTCTAGGGATCTGGTGTAACTCTTGGGACCAAGCATGACACTTTGAACCTAATGTGATGCTTGGGACCTGGTGTGACACTTGCAACTTAGTGTGACTGTTGGACTCGAGTGTGGCTCTGGGGACCTAGTGTGACTCTAGGGACCTTGTGTTACTCTAGGGACCTTGTGTGACTCTAGGGACCTTGTGTGACTCTAGGGACCTTGTGTGACTCTAGGGACCTTGTGTGACTCTCGGGACCTAGTGTGGCTCTGGGGACCTAGTGACTCTAGCGACCTTGTGTTACTCTAGGGACCTTGCGTTACTCTAGGGACCTTGTGTGACTCTAGGGACCTAGTGTGACTCTCGGGACCTAGTGTGGCTCTAGGGACCTTGTGTGACTGGGGACCTTGTGTGACTGGGGACCTTGTGTGACTGGGGACCTTGTGTGACTCTGGGGACCTTGTGTGACTCTGGGGACCTTGTGTGACACTTGCAACCTAGTGTGACTGTTGGACTCTAGTGTGGCTCTGGGGAACTAGTGTGACTCTTGGGACCTAGAGTAACTCCCGAGACCTAGTGTGATTTATGGGACCTATTGGGACCTAGTGTGAGCCATGGTCCAAGTGTGTACTTAGAAATTGGGAGTCTCTTGGTACCAAGTGTGACTTTAAATTTAGGGATGACTCCATGACCTTGGATCACTCTGGGCATCTTGTGTGACTACTGCCATGCTTCCCTATGCAGCTGAAGACCCACCAATCACCACCACACACAGACACACACAGACACACACACTGTACACACATACACACTGTACATACACTCTGTAAATAGCAAATGCTTTTGCAAACCTTGTTATGTCATGTTCGTCTTAAGAACCCATGTAAATGTATTTATGCAAGACATCCTCACCACGATGATGTCAGTCCCAAGTCTAGTCTCATTCATTCAGAAGTACATCCCTTCCCTGCATCAGAAGCCAAAACATCTATAATCAAACATCAGTCAGGGTTGGTACTGATACGGACCAGAATTCTCATCTTGATTTTACAGTGAAACCCATACATCTGGCTTTCCTACAATCACAGAGTAGATTATATAATGTTATATACACTCTATTTATGTAAGAGGACCTTTCTATATTTACATATGATATATTATGATGACAGGTTTTTGGGTTTATCAGAAACCATATGCTGGTATGTGGACTCTGGGTTTATGATCATGATTATGATTGGTAAACATGCGTGCTGTTGGTAATTGTCAACAACCAGCCTTCTTCTTGACCCAGTTGAACTTATAACAGATAACAAAAACCCATCTTCAGAGATGACTTGCCAAGACTTTTCATGATTTTCTGTTGCTGTGTTTTGAACAATTTGTGCATGGTAGGGGAGATAACTCTTACAAACAAGAGCTTGTGCTTTCCTGTAAATATATATAATGAGTCATCTTCCCCATCACCTTTTTGAGCTACGCATCATACATATTTTTTAAGTATTTTGTTTGTTTAGAAATGATACGATATATAATTTGAATGGAAATTAAAATCCCAGAATGACAGTACTCTGAACATTCCTGTATTATACCCTTAATGTTGCTTGACATTCTTTTTCTATAACCATGGTGACTCAATAATCCATTTTTGCTTGAAGTGTCCAGATTTCTGTTAATTTTGATGGTCTAGTGGTCGAGGATATCAAAACAGAAAATAGCATGTGCATGCTTTTGAGAGGCATTCTGAAAGATGATGTTGGAATCAGTGTCCTGAAACTCACTGCTATACTATATGAGGCAGCATTTAAATTTGGAGTGCAGCAATTCGAAATGCCATGATAAAATATATTTCTGTAGGCAGATAACAACCCAAAGACCTGAATGAGTGAAAAAATGGTGATAGACTGTTTCTTTGTTAACTGGGGCAGTGGGGTAGCCTAGTGGTTAAAGCATTCGCTCGTCACACCGAAGACCCGGGTTCGATCCCCCACATGGGTACAATGTGTGAAGCCCATTTCTGGCGACCCCACCGTGATATTGCTGGAATATTGCTAAAAGTAGCATAAAACCATACTCACTCATTATCTCTTTGTTAACTGTTGCAAGTCCATCGCAAAAAAGCCAAAATAATCCCAGACAGCTGATTTGTAGGAGAGGACAGCCTTTTTATCCTGTTGTTGCTTACAGTTACATATCGTTATTGTTTTCGTAAGAATTAAAAAGGCGTTTTTAGTAATGTTGATACATGTTTACATCCATTGTTTCAATTTTTAAGGTCCTGTATTGCAGTGCCTTAGAGTTTCCGTGTGTTGTTTTACCCTCAGTTTAATCATAATGTACTCACTCGTCATGAGGGGTGGTGGGGTAGCCTAGTGGTTAAAGCGTTTGCTCGTTATGCTGAAGACCCGGGTTCAATTCCCCACATGGGTACAATGTGTGAAGCCCATTTCTGGTATCCCTTGCCATGATATGCTGGAATATTGCTAGAAGCGGTATAAAAGTAAACTCACTTGCTCCCTGGTCATGGTGACACACATCTTTAGGTGAAGGTGAAGATGTGTGTCTGACAGTCTCGTTAAAGATGATCTTTTACTCCTAGTATGACGCCCCCCCTCTGCTTGACATTCAGACAAAACTGTTGTAGGTCATCTGTTTCGGTGAATCATCCAGTCGGTTTTGATGCTTCTAAATTCTTTGTACGGTTAAACATGAGTAAGAAATGGGCAGGTCTGAATGAAAATGATAAAGTTTTTACTATTACATTGTGAGATATATTTTATATGCTTTTTACTTTTTGCCTAGATATTTAAACATCTATTTTATGAGTTTGTACATGAACCGGATTGGTCGACAAGCTGTATATATATATATACATATATATATATCTCATATCAAGACACTCTATTCTAATGCATCTATTCTAATAGTTATTACATAAAATTTCAAAGAAGCCTGCTTTAATAAATTAAAAATTAACAGATTTCAATAAATTTTGTGAACTATCAGTATTCATCTGAAGAGACTGACTATGGGGGGATTTGTGTGTTCTTCATGCAGAAACGTTCTCACAACAAAGTAAAAGATCAATTTTATGTATTTTTGGGGCTGGACACTGTCCATTGAAAACTGTGTGTTCCATCCTTTTCAGTTGTGATGAGCATTTACTCCAGATTATCTCCCTTGTCACAGCGCTGTACAATCATTGGCCCCATCACTGCTGTTATATACATGTATATATCTTGTGTTTTGTTGTTGTGATTTGGGCTTGGCGGTTTTGTTGTTGTTTTGTTGTTTCAGTGGCATTTTGTTATCACTGAACGATGTATACCCACCGACCTACCCTCTATCTCTCAATGGAACTGCCCACACTTTTATGTGGAGCATTCCATTATGAAATATAGGGAATTATCAAAATGATTCTAGTCGATGATTACAAATTGATTGTTATGATTGTGTGAGTCTAGTACATATATTTCCTTGCCTGTGATGATATGGAAGTCATTGTTTTAGAATGTTAATTTGTCTTGTTTGAAGTGATACCATTTTAAACTTACATTGGCCTCGGTCAGCCTGTCTCTCCAAGTGTTCTCACTTTGCCAGCAAGTATTGTTCTCAAATAAAACCCCACCTGACTGTGGTAATCCCTAGAACAATAGGGATCAAACTAGCGCCGAGTGCTGCAGGCATAAGGGGTGTAATTGTTTAGACATGCTGTATCTGTACCGGTAATATACAGAATTTATTTTATATTCACTTCATTAATCTCACAAAATTACATATTATTTCAGTTGTATAAAGCTTTATTATGTGGCATTATCTTAATTTGTCTCATCTCAAATGCACAATAAGTGGCATATTTTTTTCAGTGACACTTACATGGAAAGAGACAAGATTTATTTAGAATTCAAATACAGTATTCCTTTTATTTGTGTTACAGGTAATGCTACCAGATTACCGATGTTCGGTAAAAAACGGTCAAGACAAACTCAAAGTGACTGTAAATTTAATGTCATTGTGACTGTAGTTTATTTTGTTGAATATGTTGACAACTTGTTGATGCAATGTTGACATTATGTTGACTACTTGTTGATGCAATGTTGACAACTTGTTGATGCAATGTTGACAACTTGCTGATGCAATGTTGACAACTTGTTGACACCTTGTAGATGCACTGTTGGCATGTTGACAACTTGTTGATGCAATGTTGACTATGTTTACAACTTGTTGACACTGTTGACAACTTAATGGTGCAGTGTTGGCACTGTGTTGTGTTGATGACTTGTTGATATCTTGTTGTCACTATGTTGATAGCTTGTTGATATCTTGTTGACACTGTGTGGACAACTTGTTGGTGCAATGTTGACACTGTGTTGATAGCTTGTTGATGCAGTCTTTACAACTTGTTGATGGAGTGTTGACAACTTGTTCATGCAGTTTTGACACTGTGTCAACGACTTATCAAAGCAGGGTTGACAACTGTTGACAGTTTGTGGACTTTTAAGATGTTTTCAAGACATTCCACTTAACATTTATTCTTCATGCTATGAAACATGTTTAAATTTGTTGTTGGATACATTTTGTAATTTATTTTAAAGAAAACATATATCTTTTTGTATATAGCATGTTAATGAAAAGACATTGGGAGCTGGCAGCATTAAACAATGTCTAATGACTTATGGACAGGGGTTTGGGAACAAGCATACAACTGATGATACATTCCAGCAACCATATGTCTGTGTCTTTGTAAAATTATTGATAAATGTGTTGAAGAAATGGCTCCACTCAAATTTTTCAGACACTTGTTAAATTTAGATTTCAGCATTATTTTTGTATGGTATTCTTTCATGATTGTACACGGGCCTCCATAGGATTCCAGTTCTGATTATAATTGTATGGTGTCTACAATCAAATAACTCCCTCCAGACTATTGTGTTATACAGAGAGGGGTATTTGATGGTTACACGGTAGCCCAGTGGTGCAAGTGTCTGAACCATTTCTGTACCTCACCATCTCATGATGTCCCCATCACATGTAAGCCCATCAGTTTCTACTACATAGATGCTTTTATCTTCTTATCTAGACCTGCTTAATTCATATACTGTAAATACGGTTATAATGAACTCAAAGGGACATTAATTTGAGTTTGTTATATCCCTAGTATGTTACGCGCATTTTGACTAAAATATACGCAAGTGGACATGACCCCAAAAGTTGTTCGTTATATCAGTCAGTTCGTTATAAGCATTGTCTTCTTGTTTTGGTCTTGATGCAGCTGCTTGTTTCTCCTCTGTCTCATGTTGCAAGGCAACAACCCCAGTATTCTAGTGTCTACCCAGTAATCGGTGTCTACCCTAGCTTCTAGAGTCTACCACATTAAACCTCTGTCTACCCTAGTATTCCCTTTTCTACCCTAGCATTCAAGTGTACACCACATTAATCCACCATCTACCCTAGTATTCCCTTTTCTACCCTAGCATTTAAGTGTCTACCACATTAATACACTGTCTACCCTAGTATTCCCTTTTCTACCCAAGCATTCAAGTGTCTACCACATTAATCCACTGTCTAATGGCTATTTAAGTGTCTACTTTAGTATTATTCCTCTGTCTACCCCAGTATTCAAGTGTCTACCACATTAATCCACCGTCTACCCTAGTATTCCCTTTTCTACCCAAGCATTCAAGTGTCTACCACTTTAATCCACTGTCTAATGGCTATTTAAGTGTCTACTTTAGTATTATTCCTCTGTCTACCCCAGTATTCAAGTGTCTACCACATTAATCCACCGTCTACCCTAGTATTTCCTTTTCTGCCCTAACATTCAAGTGTCTACCACAATGGCTATTTAAGTGTCTACTCTAGTATTCCTCTGTCTACCCCAGTATTCAAGTGTCTACCACATTAATCCACCATCTACCCTCTATTTAAGTGTCTTCTCTAGTATTCCTCTGTCTACCCCAGTATTCAAGTGTCTACCAAAGTAATCTGGTGTCTGCCTTGAATTAATGTGTCTACCCTAGTATTCCTCCGTCTATCACAGTATTATAGTTTACCCCAGTATTGAGTCTAAGCTTCCAAGATATGGCTTCTTAACATATCTTTCATCCACGTGTTGGGCTGAATGAAGCATTATTTTCCCAACTCCTTTAAGTGATGGCAGTGAATTTAGTGATGTCTACCAGTGTCTACCACAGCGACCCCCTGTCTACCCAACTACTGCATCTCCTAGTCTTAGAGTCATGAGTATCAGAACTTCCATACTTCGACTACAGTCATAGCTCTGAGATCATTTGTGGAATTGGGTCTTATTCCAGGTACCATCGTCTCATCACCTGATCTCTTGTAGTCATGACAACCTGTCAATGTTTTTTTTCATGATTCTGTTTCTGCTTTAAAGTGATTTCTGTGTGCTGTCTTTTTTGTGCTGATCTTTTTGTGTTGCAATATGACTTACTTCGACGAAGAGACGACTGATCATGAGTCACACATTGTTGGTATTTCAGAGGTTTTGTACCCACTTGCTTCCTCCATCACGGTGAATACATACAGGTGCTTGTGAGTTCACTAAGGGAACATTCATAATTGATAGCAGGGGGGGTTGTTGGGGTATTCTAGGGTGATGATTTTATTAACAATTTATGCTTAAAAATTAAGGGGGGATTTGGGATTGTCACCCATTTTCTATGTACATGCTTCTCCATAAAAATCATCATCACCCCCCTCGCCATTAATTATGAGTGGCCTCTAAAGGGGTACATCTCTGAGATCTGCTTGACACATGTCATCGGTTCCCAATTGTGCAGATCGATGCTCATGCTGTTGATCACTGGATTGTCTAGTCCAGACTCAATTATTTACAGACCGCCGCCATATAGCTGGAATATTGCTGAGTGCGGCGTAAAACTAAACTCACTCACTGAGACCTGCATAAATTTCGCACCACTTTTTAAGCTGGAAATATCAAATACACTGCAAGTAATCTGTATGTATTGGTGATGGAGGAACGTAGTGTGTCCATTACTATTGAGTGTTGACGATTTGTGTCTCATTGCTGTAGCCTCGTGTCTCCGTTCCCTCCTCTGTACCACCTGTCTCATGTGCCCCTTTTCTTATCTCTACCAGAACACTATTTAAACCAACAAAATATCATCTATCTTTAATTTACATGAGATTATGTTAAGCAGGCAAAACATTATATATTTGCTTCTTAATGAATAAAATGATTTTACTATTTGCAGTATTTGTGTGATTATTGCTGACATTCAGTTTCTTGGTGACAGATTTGTGTTGGTGTTCCAAGGATGTTGATCATTGATACAATTTTGTCTTTCATGTTATACCTGTGAAGATCCGGGCTAGAATTGATCTTCAGGAACCCATGCTTGTCGTAAGAGGCAACTAACGGGATCAGGTGGTCAAGCTCGCTGACTTGGTTGACCCATGTCATTGTTTCCCAATTGCGTAGATCGATGCTCATGCTGTTGATCACTGGATTGTCTGGTCCAGACTCGATTGTTTACAGACGGCCACCATATAGCTGGAATATTGCTGATAATGGCGTAAACCTAAACTCACTCACTCATGTTAACGTGATAAGAAGAGAATATCTGGTACATATTCGTCAGGGCATTTGTTAATTTATTTTGCGTTTTCTAGAGTACAAAAATCTGTACTTTACTGAAAAAGTGTAATCCCAAATATGACCTGGTACATTTGACCACTTTCTAAATTGTATTGTGTATTTATAGCTTACTGGGAACCATGCCTGTTAACACTTGTCATTTTATTGGAAGTTGTGGTGGCCAAGTGACTGGATCGCTGTGTGCTTCAGCAATCTGGTGCTTCACTCTGGGAATATTGGTTGGAATCCCAGACGGTCCTCAACCAGAAAAGTAAGAATCTGTACCTTACTGAGAAAGTGTACTCCCAAATCTAACATGCTTTACATATGACCACTTTCAAATGGCATTTTGGATTGGTGAATTATGCAATTTTTGATGAGTAATGCTCCTTGAGCTGTGTTGTGCCGTGGTGGTCGTCACGTTGAAGATCAGAGTTTGATTCCCCACATGGGTACACCCGTGAAGGTCCAGGTTAGAATATTGGCCTTCAGTAACCCATGCTTGTCAAAAGAGGCGACTAATGGGATCAGATTGTCAGGCTCACTGGCTTGGTTGACACATGTCATCGGTTCCTCACTCAAATTCTAGCGCAAAAATAGGGTTGCGCAAAACAAAGAGAAAATTTAGTGAGTTATTACCAGTCTTCCCATATGGGATCGAGCGAAGTAGAGCAAAGGTTGGCAACGTGCTTCCCTCGCTTCGGTTCGAAAAATATCTTTAATGTCAAAATAAAATATCGCCATCATCAAAGGTAGACACCCATGTCCTCAGAGAGTTGTGCTCTCAGATTTCCAACCTCATGTTTAATAATTACTCAAGTACAATATATTTAATTCAACATTTTAAGCGCCACTCGTGGCATGTCAAATCGTTCTTCGCCTCCATTACCCCTGCCAGCTTCCAGTTCAACAGAGTGAAGGAACAGGGGAGTTTTCTTTAAATATGCTTTCATTTACCCGTTACGCCAGAAGTGTTTCTGTAGAATAAATGTTACGAGAATTCTAACAATAACGATGGCAGGTAAGAAAAAATAATCCCCAACAGTTTAACTGTAAAATTATACAATATCATATTTCTGTTTAATTTCTGCTTATTCTTGTTCCTTCACTCCGTTTAACCGGAAGCTGGCAGGGGTAAACGGGACGTTGGCAGGGACGTTGCATAAAACCGTGGGCGACGTCGCCCACTACGTCGCATAAGAAAGACGACGTCTTGCGCGACGTTGCTTTGTAAAAAAACCTTTGGCTACAAAAATAACGGGCGACGTCGTGGACGACGTCTGACTATGTCGAGGGGTTATTTTCAACATATAGCCTCAAGTCTCTGTTGGCCCCACTTGGCCCGGGCTGTCAAAAGCAACTTAAACCTCACACATGTATCTAGAAATGTGTCCAGATTCATAGATTAGCATTATATCTACCAACATGTCATTGTATAAAGTTCCAAAACGTAGTATTTGAAGCAAACACATTGCTCAAAGGGAAGCCTGCTTTCAACAGTTGCTATATCACACGCGTTTGGTCTGGCTTGGCCCGGGCTTTCAAAAGCACCTCACCTCAACCTACACCTCACATATGTATCTCGAAAAATGTTTTTTTTTTCTTTTTTCACAAAATACATTCTAATAACTGCTCTCTATCAGGAACAATGAAAATATTTAACATTTATTACTTAGAGGCACAGGAAGATTAACTTTGAAAAACGCATTGCTTAGAAGGGGAAAATCAGTTTAAGAACACTGATTTAATGATATTATTAAATCTGTTGCCATTTTCATAAAACATTTGATGTCCATCCGTAAATCACATGTAAAACCATAATTTCATGTCACGTGACCAATAGTTGTAATTGAGCAACTTCAATTGTACTCTGGGCCACTGGGCCTTAACTACTGAATAACACCTGTCTGTCGGTCGGTCTGTCTGTGTGTGTGTGTGTGTGTCTGTCTGTCTGTCTGTCATTGTCCAGGTACTCCATCAGTGTCAGGTGGTTATTTGCAAGCCTGAACTTCAAGGTATCTAGTTGTTCCTCCAAATCTCTGTACTTCTTTTTGGGGACAGTATTTGGCCGGCATTGTACTGAAGCATCTTTGCCTCGTTCAGTCCTTGTTCATCTGCCAAGAACTTGGCCATCTCGAAAAGGTTTGTGCGGGGACCATCAGTATTTTTGGTACAGTCGAAAAGATTCACTTTGACTTCGCTGTGTACAGGGTCGTGGTTGTGGTCTCCAGGTATTTGGGAAATTATGTCGTTCACTGTTAAGACTGATATGCAGTCGTTCTGAATGCATCTCCACAAGATCCATTTTCCCCTTTTCTTCTTGTTCACAATAAACATATAACCATTTACATATCTGTATGTTCCACCACGAGAAGTAGGAAGAAACCAATTGTGCATTTGCCTTAACTGAAGTTGTGGAAATGATGATGAAAACTGTCAGTTCCAACATTCTTATAGCTTGCAAGTTTATGTAAAAAATTGAATAACTCACTACTAATGAACTGGGTGAACTAAACTCACTCACTAAACCCGCTGGTTCACATGACAACCCGCTGGTAGAAATGTCATATTTCGTTTCCTGAGTGGACACATTTTACATTTTGTAGAAAACCAGTGTATTAATACCTTAAAACAACACCATTTTCACACAACATCAAACATCAACTAAGTTTGACAGAATTTTTTACTTAAGGTGTTCTGGCGCTAACCCCTCGATTGGTTTACTTAAATAAGTAGTAATGTTAAACATGAAATCAGTGATTAGAGATCAATAGCAGTACAACTGCATCACAAAAGGTTATTCCCCGATTTTCCAATATAACAATTTCTAAACACGACGTCATAGGGGACGTCGGCCTCGTGGACGACGTCGATTTTGTATTTTTGTCGTAGATCATTCTTGTGTATTTCTGCACGACGTCGTTGTCGACGTAGTCTTTTTTATGCGACGTCGTTCTTTTTTCACGCGCCACGCGATGGCAATTATAGAACACCATAGACATGCCACAATTTGCGCTTAAAATGTTGAATTAAATATATTGTACGTGAGTAATTATTAAATATGTGGTTGGAAATCTGAGAGCACAACTCTGTGAGGAAATGGGTGTCTACCTTTGATGATGGCGATATTTATTTTGCTATGAAAAATATTTTTCGAACCTAAGCGAGGGAAGCACGTACGTTGCCAACATTTGCTCGCTTCGCTCGCACATGGGAAGACTGGTCATTTTCTCTTTGTTACGCAACCTATTTGCGCTACAATTTGCCTGTCATGGGATACACAGATTTATTACCCACGTGGTCAACGTATGGGTAGTTGCATACTAATCTCGTACGTCACACGAGCGTCGTATTGCGTTGACCTGTGTCGTAACGACTTTTATTACCCACGTGGTCAACGTATGGGTAGGTGCATACTAATCTCGTACGTCACACGAGCGTCGTATCGCGTTGACCTGTGTCGTAACGACTTGACCTGAGATTCTAACGATTTGATTGGATAACCGATGACCTCTCATTTAGGTCACGTATTGACGAAACTACTTTTTCATTCATAACAAACACGTGAATGCATTCATTCTACAACTTAAATGCATTGTGGAAATGTAAACATTGCGAACGTTGCCGTGTCGTTGTTTAATTGTGAGTCGAACTGAGACATTATATCCGTCGAAAAACATAAGCGCAATGTTTCCACCAGTGATGTTAGCCGAATGAAGCAACTGCAAACCAAGAAACGAGGTG